GAGAATTGGCAGAAAGGTCCAACAAAATATAATTAATGAAATAATTATATATCAATAATATATAAATATACTCAGATGAGGATTAGCTGGTACAAACCATACACTGAAATTACTATGTCCAGCTAGCACCAACCAACATACAAAGAATAAAATGTGCCACTATAAACACCAGATAAGCTAGCCTTGTCAGCACAATTTGTAAATACCTTGGTCAGTCCACAAAGACGCTGACTGAGATTGCAATAACAATACCGAACTAACAAAGGCCATTATTAACTTACAGAGAATAACCTTTATCAGACTTTATCATCATCACCACAACATGCGATGTATTTTGATTTCTATTGCATAAAAAACACTGTGCAAAGTTGTTAAAATTTTGGGATTTTTAGAAATTAAAGCATATAGTAAATGAGAAGAAAACAGACTCAACTTACTTGGTGCAAACATGGCCAGCTATAATGGGTGAGAAAAATATAAAGTAATTAGAGACTTAACAACATTTTACAATACATGCCTTAACTGGATCCCATCTGTATTTATATTTCCATCCCAGGAAATACTAATAGTACCCAAGCTAAGCATTTAATATAACTCACAAAAGTCCCAGTATTGTATCTCTCACTCCATGCACCTACCAAAATAGGTGGCCACATAGGCTGATCACTGCATCCTTGGCTGTGTCCAGACATATATTACACTCAAATGTGCTATCCTGGCTGCTGCCATCTCCGTTGCTGCTTCCACTTGCCCCACCAGGGCTTGAGTTTTCTGCAGATGCAGAGGGAGCTGGACCTGCACTTGCCATCCTACTTGGCGTAGCCACGCAGTATAGAAAATGTTACACCAAAAGAAACACCTGCCAGACAAACAGAATTCCAATGAAAAGATCATAAAATATATTCAGAGATATTTAAAACTGTAACATAGCCCACCCACACTTACCAAGTGATAATTAGCCTGCACTCCAGATGAAGGTGGAATTGCTGTCAGAATAGTCATCTGTTAGTGTCTGTGGAAGAGAAAATTGAGCTTTAAGTGCAAGCAGCTTTTCACACTGTTACATCATGTCCCCAGAGAATAAACTGCTGATAGTTGAGAAAGGAACCAGTAATGACGCATAAAACCGCCACTATTAACAGGGTCTGCTAGAACTTGACAGATATTGTTGATCTCAATAAAAATTAAAGGGGAAACATATAAGGAGAGGAAATAAGACATAAGGAGTGGAGAATATGCTAATTTAATTGTACCAATGAAATCCAAGACTGACACTTTGCCTCTATAATGAAACTAATATCTATATGTCACCTGTCTGCAACGCCCCTCTGAGGACACGGGTTACCAGACTAATCCCCTTTCTACAAGAATGGAAGGAACTAATCCCTTCTCACAGATGGCATGGCTGCTCAGGCACAGTAGAAAGGGTATACGAGTGTACATACAATAAAATCAGAAATACTGGTTCAACAAGTACAAGTGATCAAGGCTGTAAGATTTGCAGAGTGACAGACTAGGTCACCATCGCAGTATATTGCGTTAATTAAAAAAAAATTAAAATAAGTTAAAACACAAAATACATAATAAATTAGCTCAAATAGTGGAGAGCAGCATGAATAAGCAAAATAAAGGGGAAAAACTAATTATTGGACATACTCAAATAGAGTGCTTACTTCACACATTTCTGTCTAGTTATAGAATATCTACAGAATAGACAAGCATTTTGTATCCTTCTGAAGGTTAAATCTTGTAGATTCAGTAGAAATCTGATAACTGGACTACAAGTCACTAAAACCTTGCACATGTTAAAAAAAAAAAAACCAAAAAACGAACAAACAAAAAACACTTTATAGAGAAGCAATTGATTGGACCGTTCTCCGAGCACAGAGTACATGCGCGCACTCTGACCTGGAAAAGTGATGGAGGACAAGAGGGGTGGGCAGAGGGGATCAGGAAAAATGAATGAAGCTGAATATAGGGAGGCAGGGATGGAAACTCAAGCTTCCCCTTGCAATAGCAGTTTACTGCAAGCTGGCAATGGACATAACTTTTCTACAGAACTGATATAAGCAGTCTGGAACAGGGTTCCAGGCTGCCTAAGTCAGGGGTGCAACTAGGCACACAAGAGCAAATAGCTCTATATGTGCAGCATTTCAAGAAGAAGTGTTGCAGATACAGATTCCTGCCAACATGGCTACTTCTAAAAGTAGAAGTGGTCATGGAAGTTGGAGTAACCCTTTAATTGTTAAGTCGATAGCACAGAATATATGACACGTTTGTAAATACACAATACACCTACGAAAAAGACTGGCAGGTCCAAGAAATCGATTTAGCTGACACCAACCATTTAAAATGTTTGGATAGGGGCCAGCAATTTGTTTTCCATAGCTGTCACCACATTGCACAGCAGCAAGACTTTCCTGGTACTGTGTATGAACAACACAAACTTTTGGAGATTTGCTCCCCTATTTTTGTAGCACTGACTATAGAAAAGTATAGTATAAACGTTTTAAAAATAATAGCAACAACTAATTTTACCAAAAATATACTCATTGCATAGTAGTCTACAAACATAATTTCAACTCACATTTTATTTTTGTATATACAATAATACAGATGTGTAATACAAAATATACAACTTTGCAGGTATCCTATTTTCCAATTAGCTGTAGCAATATCCTATGGGATCTGTACACTAAAATAAGAACTGCAGTGAATAATCAAATGACAACTTGGCCTATTTGTCACAATTAATTGATCAATACATTGTAATTCGTAGTTATTTGTTTAACCAGTAACTTCACAGACCTCAGGCACCTAATTTTTAGAATATTTCATACAGAAGAACCCCAAGACGTACATGAAAAATAACAGAAATTAAATGTAGCTGTCCTGGTTACATTTAATTACGTGTTTTATTGAAGTAACAGCAATTTGTAATGAACTGAACACCAAAATGCAACATTTAGGTAAAATTACCCAAGCTGTATCTATAGCTGGGTGAGATAATTGTTTCCCAATCAGTAATTTTAGCCTATATTTTGCAATTAAAGTGTCAGGTAACTACAATTCACAGACATTCAATCCCCACATAACTTTATAAACAGACACACATACAAAACCTTACAAACACCCCCCCAGCTAACACACAATACCACAGACAGCTCATATCACACATATAAGTACTACAAGCAATTACATACAAACATTTAACATCACAGGCAGCCCACATTAACACAATCTACAAAGAGCTCACATACACACAACACCAAAGACACGATCAAGTCACATACTTAACACCTCAGACAGCCCACACATATTTATCATCACTAACAGCCTTCCCACATAAACAGAAGAGCACAAACCGTCCACAAACATACACATAACACCACAGACATTGCACACATACATAACACGGCAGGCAGCCTATAATCTCACACACACACAATACAACAAACATCCCACACACATTCATGCAATGCCACAAACCCCTCCATGCACAATACCACCGTAAACACTAATATTTGGATAACTAACTCCATGGGAAAATGTGGTTAACTCCATAAAGGGGCCCAATATAGTTCACTCCTATCCTGGTGGCATCTGGCTTCAGTGGACGCTCTCAACCAGTCACCCCCCATTCACTAAACTGGCTTGAAAAGAAACATACCTTTCTCAAACCAGTTTAGTGAATGGGGAGTCACTGATTGGCACATTTTGAAGCTTACCAGTAAAAAAAACATTTTATTCAAAGCTTTCCTATGGGCTCTCGCATCACGTGACAGAGGCAACTTTTGGCCAACTGACGCTGGATGTCTTCATGCTGTGCATGAGGACATCCACCATCAGCTAAAACCCTATAGGAAACCATTGATTCAATGATTTCCCATGTGTTTGTCCTAATGATTGTGTGAGCGAGGAGGATACCATAGTGCTAGGAATACAATTGTGTTAATTTAAAGTGAATTTCAAATGTCCAATGCTTTCCTATGGGGAAAATCTGACGCTGGAGGTCCACGAGGACGTCCAGTGTCAGATAACGAACCAAATGTCCGTTTGGATTCCAGAAGCCCACAGCCACAGAGAGCAGACGTAGAGCTGCCATGTAAACATTGCAGTTCTTTGGAACTGCAATGTTTAACATTGTGGCACTAAATGCCAAAGGTCACAGCACCCAGACCGCTTCACTGAGCTGAAGTAGTCTGGGTGCCCACAGTGTTGCTTTAAATTTTAAATTCACTTTGAATTCTCCCTTTAGTGAATAACCCGTATATTTCAACAGGATTTGCGACTAGTAAATATGAGAATTTGTAAAAATAAATTAATAATTTACCGAATTTTGTCAACCTGCACTGCATTTGGTCCTTAGTAAACAGCAAACTGAGAAGTGAATGACACTAAAATAGCCAAGCTTACTTTAGCTTAATAGGATAGATATAGCTATATATATATATATATTTATCCCTTTATGTAATGATTTATTTGTGCTATTTAGATTCCAATGCCCTCTATATTGCAGTGAATGATGCTGGTTTTCTATTGTATTGAATCCCCGTCACTGTGTGTGTGACAGACACCATATGTCACTGGTGGTATACATGGAGCACACTGTCCGGAGAGAATGTGAATGCCGATACTGAGTGATACTAAGCCCCAGTTAGTGGCAGGCTATGTGCAGGCTATGTGCAGTCTGCTATGGTCAGGCTATGGTGGGAGCTGTCCGGCCAGCAGCTCGCATATCCGGGTTACCCCCTTCCCCCAGAGCAGGCTGCGGGCTCCCGGTGTCTGACAGGAGGCCCCCGGGCCGGGCTGTGACTTACCGCTCGCGGTGTGACGGTATGTCCGCATTGCCTGTCACAGTAACTCACCCGTACAGCGCCGAGCTCCACCACCTGCAGCTACGGGCTGTCCCACCGCTCACACGTCACACGTCACTTCCGGGTACAAAGTAGCAGAGCTGATAGAACGCGGGCGGGCGGTGCGCGGCCCTGTCACTGTCACGTGACTCGCCTGCAAGATGGCGGCGCCCAGCAGCAGAGCGCCGGACTCGGACTCGGACAGCGGCAGTGAGGATCTGCAGCGCTTCCGCGAGGCGGCCTGGGAGCCACCGGGTGAGGGAGCTGATAGGGCTTTAGGCGCGCGGTGGTTCACATGTTCCGTTTGGTGTAAGGGACCCGGGGGCTCTGATACTCAGTGCAGAGTTACCCTCACTGCATGGCATCGCCAAACCAGCTGCACCCATCGGCACATGGGACTGTGTGGGGGCAGTGCATGCTGGAGGGCTGCATAGCAAACACGTGTTACATGGTGTAACTCTGGGCGGTGGTACCCAGAGAAATTCAGGGGACTGGAGGAATAACAAGAATGGCATGGGTACATTACAAAAGATAACCGCCATAAAGATTAGTGTGGAATAATATTAGTGTACTGTGAATTAACCATACCCTCAAAAAAAATTTTTTTTTAAATCCGTAAATAAGTATCTTGAGTCAGCAGAGACTGGCAGTTGAGTGACAGGGGAGTGATGGAGAATCTTAATTGGATCTTCTGCTCTAAGTCATAGCTATTCTCCAATCATAATCCCATGAATTCTGAGGAATATAAGGACAAAGTAACTGATGGACTGCCAGTGTCATGGTTGCTTGGGGGCATTTTTAATAATATTGTTGCAATGAAGGAGGACAAGGATGTGTTACATTACCCTGATGCCCCCCCAAAATCGCCAAAATGACTGCCTCTGGAAAGAGAATAAAAAGTCATCTAATATCCCACAAAGCTATTAAATAAATTATCACTATCTCAAACTATATATTCAATGATTAGGTAGAACTTATTTATTAAAGGGACACTATGACATTAGGTATACAGTTTTGTATTCCTAACGCTATAGTGTCCCTTACCCCCACCCCACAAACACACACTTTCTCTGAAACAGTGATGTTTTCCATTTCAGGATTAAAATGATACTATAGTGTTAGGAATACAGAGTTGTATTCCTTACACTATAGCTCCCTCTACACACCCCTCTCTGACCAATAAAGGGTTTAAAACCCTTTCTGTACTTATTCGATTCCAGCACTGATCTCCCTCAGTACCGGGTCAGCACTCCACCTCCTTTAACGACATCCAACAGGGTGGAAAAGCTAATGTGCGTGTACGGCAAACACATTATGCCCTCCCCATGCTGGATGTCCTCATGCTATAGTCTGGATTCTCACATGTAATTCATGTAATTTCATTTTTTTCATGACTTTGTTGTGATGAATCTGATTGGTACATAGCTCTCAAATCATCTTATGTATGCTTTGGTTCACTGTACATATACGTCCTTAGTATTATAGCATTTCTATGCAAACACTCCATTTACTATTTGTTGTTTATTATGTCACAGGTATTAAACCAGTTCAGCGCCAGGAGAAGGCCGTTCCATCTGCTGCTCCAAGTCTTCGGTAAGAAGCATTGGTTACATTTTATAGTGAATAGAGTGCTTGTTACCCTTTGTACAAACATCTCTTTTTCCATAGTGTGCAGGCTGACTGCCATGAGCATGATGGGAATGAGCTGCAGACTACACCTGAATTTCGATCACACATTGCTAAAAAGCTAACCGCTATCCTGGACAGGTAAGACTCATGGTATTCGTTATCAAGCTGCTCTCCTAATATGTCGGGACAGATTTTTATTAATATTATATGTTACTTTTTAGTTGCATCAAAGTAATCCCAGCAATCAGTACCCTTCAGACTGAGCCTATAACGGATACAGAAGACAGTGGTGAGTGGCGACATTACTTGTTTCAGAAATTATGTTGCTATTTTATAGGAAGACATTGCGCCCTAGTACCGGTCTTGCTTTATCCACCGTAAGTGGAAAATATATATATATAATATGAATAATCATATTGCCAAGGGTGTGAATTACCGTGCATTGTATGTGCTTACCAGTACAGAGTTTATGTAAACCGTTCTGGCAATGTTTATTTCTGTACTTGACTGGATTCGGTATCTTTGAAAAGCTTAGCAAAGAATATTAAATTGAGGCCTTGATCCATACAAGCCTCATGGTGAAAGGCCCACCAGATAACTACTGCCCAAGTGGAATGATCAGTGAAAAAGGCAGAAATTTGAAAAAACTAAACACATGCTAAAGAGCCTGTTTGCTTAAACATAATACTCAAGGGCATGAACAATATCTAAATTTTGCAACAATCTCTCTGTAAGTTGCAGTTAAAGCCACCTTGGGCAGAAAGTAGTAAAGAGTCTTCATGACTGCGCAGTCATTATCAAAAACTAGTAGAGGGGGCTAACAAAATAGAACAAAAAGTTACCTTCATGGCAGAGGAAATTAGAAGCCTCAGCTGTGTGCCTCCATTAGAGCTTTAGGGATACGAAAACATTGAGGTGCCGCCATCAACACCGCTGGATTAAAGATTTGATCCAACATTTCAAATCCTCTGCAGAGGGTGGTTACTTTTTCATTTTTCGAATATGTAGCACCTCCAAAGAGAGAGAGTTCTTGTGCTCGCCCTTGATGCAGTAAGTTACATCCTCTCTAGTAGGTCTTGAAGGGCGTGCAGAAACTCAGAACTGGAGTCCTTCTAGTCAAGCTAGGCAGAGAGCAAGCAGCCTTCTCCTTTGACAAAGTAGGCACATCACTAGCGTGCTCAGCAAAACTGAGATGTGAGCATTTTACTGCAGGTGCTTAATGTTAACCAAGTTAGCAATTACAGCCTTAACGTCGTCCTGGACGTCGGATATTTCTCCAGTGACCAAGAGCGCGAACAAGAGCAGCAGTGAAACTCACAAGTTTTACCGTCCCAAACAACTGTGCAATGGCCACGTGTGTCTGAGAGGTCATGGCTCTTTCTTTGCCACCTTAGATCAGCTGAATTGACTGGCAAGTATTAACACAAACCTTAATGCAGGAACTGTGTGGCTTTTGAATAGACCATACCCCAATAACATAGCTTCAATTATATGCTGAGGAAAGTGGGGGAATACCGTGGCAAACCTCCAGTGTCCGTCCTTTGCACCCTAGGTTGCTTTAGGAAGGAGTGGCCAGGGGACACCCTGACACAGATTGTGACACTTACCTGCAGTGCCCTGAGTGCCTTCAACAGAGACGATGCACCTTGTCTGGTGCTAAGGTCTGGCCATCTGTAATTAGTGAAGTCAAGAGACCTTCAAGAGAAGGCATCATCTGACATATTGGGGAAGTAGAGTAGAGGCTGACTGCCTACCACAGCAGTCAGCCCCTGAGTCATATTTTTAGCATGTACTGCACACTTTTGTTATAAGTTTTATAATTTGGTCACTGTGCTAAATGTAACTACTCTACTGAAGTTGAATAGGCATACTCTATATTCTTTAAGCCGAGTATATAACTTGTTCCACACTTTAAAGAAAAGATTGACGACATTTCCTTCCTTTAAAGTATTGAATTCCTATTACAGACCTGTTGTTTGACTTCTGTTTTCTTTGGAACACGTCTGCAAGGTTCTGTCATGTTCAGTTCATAATTTCTATGGGATCATAAACCGCCCCTTTATCATCAGTGTTTATTCTACCTTACATTGAAATATAACCGAGAAACATCAAATAAACACACACACACACCCTGTATTTAAGCCTCTTATTTTTTTTCTCCATTTATTATCAGGTTTTAGATTGTTCTGCACATCCATCCCTGGGGACACTGGGACTCCAAAACCCACTACTACTATCAAACGCAAACTGGCTTCCTCTAGCAGGTAAGTCCTCATTCATGCTTACAAACTCACATGAGGTTGTGTTGTGTTCTCTTATCAGTACCAGGTACTAGCAAAAAGTCATTCATACCAAGAACTGATCAAAAACTTTGTATGTGTGTATAGAGTGGTGCAGTAGTAGCTGCTCTGAGTCACATGTAGCCGAGCACCCTACATATCTGGAATTATATTTCTTCAAATAAGTACTAGTTACTCCAAAGACACAGTCACACACTCTTTGCTGTCAGCTTATGGAATGCTGTAAAAGTATGACTTCCTATTCTGGAGTACCATTTTTCCAGTATGTTGCAGCACACTAGCAAGTATTGACACCTGATTTTATTATTTTACACATTACCCTCAGAGATGGCAGCCTTAAAGGGAAACTCCAGGCACCCAGACCACTTCTGCCCTTTGGAGTGATCTGGGTGCCAACTCCCACTACCCTTAACCCTGCAACTGTAATTATTGCAGTTTTCATAAACTGCAATAATTACCTTGCAGGGTTAACTCCTCCTCTAGTGGCTGCCACTAGAGGGCACTTCCTGGTCTATAGCACAGGTTGTCTGTGTTAAAGCGTCGCTGGACGTCCCCCCCCTGTTGACGTGATGAAGGGGAGGAGCGGCAGACCAAGAAGCAGCGACGAGGGACATCGGCGGAGGTCTCAGGTAAGTGGGAGGGAGAGGGAACCTGCAGTGCCAGGAAAACAGATTGTTTTCCTGGCACTAGAGAGAGTCCCTTTAACCACCTGTCACTAAAGAATGGTACAAGGTGATTGATGAGGTATATATTAGAACATTTAAAGGGTGCAAAATGCAATAGAGAATTTAAGAAGATGCTGAGAAATTACCAAATACAGTGCTATGTCTGTACAGTAACAAATAAGTTAACTGAGTACCTTATCTGTAGTGCATAATTAATACTGTGCAACTAAATAGCAAAACAACATGAAAAATAATTATATTTGATTGTACATACAATATAATGGTGAATGCAGTGTGAAAAAGAAAAGTTAAAAAAAAAAAGTAATTGCACAATTCTGAAATATAAATTTGCCTTATTAAAACTGGTGCAGCTTTGTTCTAGTGTGGTATAATTTTGGTAAAAGACAAGTAAACATTCTAACCCTCTTGATCTGTAATAGTCTTCTCAAAACTGAGAATACAAAATGTTTGTAGAAATATGTGCTCTACTCCTCAATCTACCTAGATTTTTGGCTATACCAGCTCAGTTTATAAGGCCATAACAGTATTATCACCCTGTATCACAACTGATATTCTAACATTTGTAAAGGACAGTCAATTTGTATTTGATAACTTCCATCATGGTGTACAGAGTGGGAGGATGAAAGTCATTAAAAAATAATCACAAAAACAAAATTGCTGTCTGTTAACATTAGAATATTAGTCACCCCAGTTCTGGTCCAAAGGTGAAAAAACTGTTATTTTGTTTTAAATGGGCAATCCTGGAACCACACATGATTTGATTGACACTAGTTATATTGGTTGTGGTATTCAGTTTTCTGGTGGTTTTTAGTTTGGGTGGGAGGGGGGTGTTTGCAAGTGTGCCTCTTTTCTTACTTTCTCCCAACCTGTGTTATTTATGTTTTTACTGCAATATTACAACTGGACATGACATTGTATATATGTTTGTTTTCTCTCTACTGATGTGGCTGCACATATTTTTTTTTTTTTAAAGGGTTGCTATGAATACACCAGGATTGGCTTGGAGTTTCAATTACTTTCTGGTGTAATCCATTAAGGGTATGGGCTTTACTTACATTAGGTCTGCATCAGGACATCCTTTTGTTTTGGTGTGAGCATGGTTAAATCCATGCACACTCAAGGTAGACCAAGGTATCACTTGAGACAGCTGGGGACATATTTACTGGCCCCAGCCCTTTAAATGCCATTTAAGGCTCTCAGACACTGTGCCTATGACTTTTCAAAGTGGTCATGGAGGAATGAATCTGGCTGTAATTGAATCACTGCGCATCACGAGTTATTTGCACTTGTATGCAGTGGACTAGATACACTACGGGAACTCTTTCCAGACTGCCAAATCTGTGCGTATTTTACATCTGTCATCTGCTCGCACTGCAAGCTGGTAACCGACATAACATGAGTCTCCCCTTGCAGGTTCTGCCTAGTTTCCCTCCCACCTCCCTATCCCCTCCTTTTTTTTCAGGTTTTATGGTTTGTTTTTTTAAAGGCTCCCTCCCCATGCCAGCTCAGAGCACGTGCATGCGATCGGAGCCATTTAAAAGGACCAATCAAAGGCTTCTCTATGAGAACCCTTTGGTGGACCTACCAACGTGAGGAGGGAGAGTGGAAAGGAGAACTTGGAGCTTTGCCCAGTGCTGGATCCCAGGTAAGTAAAAACTTTTTATACTACTGTTTGGAAGGGAGAGGAAATCTAAGAAATAATGCCCAATAGGGCATTTATTAATTTAAAAATAAATAATATGAGGATTGGAGAAACCCTTTAATGCCGTGTTAGTTATTCATATTGGATATTAAAACAAAGCCCTTTTCTGCATTTAAAAAGAAACCATTAACAGTGGAACAGACACTTGGCACAAATTCTAGGTTTTCTTTTGGTTCAGAAGTTGGCCAATTGCCTCCATCTTTTAAGGGGTTAATGAAGACTTCCTGTAGAAACAGATCTTGGTGACTTTCAGCAGATGTAACCTTTAAAGCACAGTATAGTCTTTCTGAATTATTTGTGTAGTGCATTACGCAGCTGGGTTATCTCCATTGTGAAGTGTCCCTTGAAACGGTTTCCTCCACATCTAAACACATTTATTTACTTATTTGTTTATTTAAAAAGTGTATTACCAGTAAGAAGAATACATTGGATTTCTTTGGTCTTGTGTCTTGGAGAGTATAAACACTACAATGAGGTGGTTACAAGGATACATTTAAAACAAATATATACAAAACAAATAATTAAACATTTGCAATGATTTCAGCTTCATTGTGGATAGTGAGACTTTAAATTGGTGGGGAATTTGTGATTTCCTGGAAAGTTACTCCACAGTAATGGAGCTCTGTAACAGAAGGCAAATTGACCCATTTCCTTCTTCTAAAGTGGGCTAATAAGTAAAATGCAGAAACTAGACAAGCGTATATGGCGGTGAGCATAGACAGGTAATGAGTGAGGAAACTTGCAAGAGAACGGTTTAAAAAGGCAGTGGGCAATGTTCTCATTATTATTCTCCCCTGATGCTAATCCCTTCCTTGCCTGTTTCTTGGTGTTTTGGTTTTTTTAATTTATTTTTTACTATACAGCATAAAGAAAAACATATAATGAGGTTTTTCAATAAAAAGTGGACTGCCTTCTTAAGGTTTTGATTCAGTTTTTCAAACTTAGGTGTGCATGTAAATGAAATATTGTTGCTTGGGAAGGTGAAAGATTGTTAGAATCTAGTCTGCTCCAAGTATTCAATCATCACTTTTGTGGGTTTTTCTTGAACACATTTATGATTAAAATGGAGCATTTTAGAGTTGTTCGCATTTAACAGATTACTGTTTACGTTTTCTGTAAGAATGGAATAATAACAAATTTATTGTATATTTAACTGAAAGCGGTGAATTGAGAGCGATTTTTACAATATTGACCAGACATATAGTAACTAAGGATGGTCAGTCCCTAAATACATATTTTTAATCTGTCTGACTACTGGATTCTTCTTGGACATGATGAAATTATCCAGTTCCCCAAATTCAGTAGAAAGTGATTTTTGAAGGAGATTGTTACGTCCATTAAGTTTACAATGAATTGACTTTGTGTAATTTTATATCCCGCAAAACAAAAGGTATTTTGTTTGCTTTCGATATTAAAATCACCAGGAAGGTTGGGCAATAAGCACTATGTGCTAAAGGTAGGCTTTGTAAAGAGATGTTGAATTTTTACCAGAAATTAACTTAAAGGACCACTCTAGGCATCCAGACCACTTAAGCTTAATGAAGTGGTCTGGGTGCCAGGTCCAGCTAGGGTTAACCCATTTTATTTATAAACATAGCAGTTTCAGAGGAACTGCTATGTTTGTAAATGGGTTACTCCTTCCTCCAATTCCTCTAGTGGCTGTCTAATTGACAGCCGCTAGAGGCGCTTGCGTGATTCTCACTGTGAAAATCAAAGTGAGAGCACGCAAGCGTCCATAGGAAAGCATTGTAAATGCTTTCCTATGAGACCGGCTGAATGCGCACGTAGCTCCTGCTGCGCGTGCGCATTCAGCCGAATGGGAGGAGAAGAGGAGGATCGGAGGAGAGCTCCCCGCCCGGCGCTGGAAAAAGGTAAGTTTTAACCCCTTTCCTCTCCCCAGAGCCGGGCGGGAGGGGGACCCCGAGGGTGGGGGCACCCTCAGGGCACTATAGTGCCAGGAAAACAAGTGTTTTCCTGGCACTATAGTGGTCCTTTAAGATGGAAGCGGAACAAGAATGATTTTTCACAGTAACCTTTAGGTACTTTTCTTTGTACATGATAATGCCCCCACATATTTTTTGCTCACTTTATTTCTGAAGCACACCTGCATTCCAGAGCAGTTTCTGAAGATGTGTAGCTTCCTAATTTTTATCAAGGCTTTACCTATGCTATACATGACAATTGCAATGTACGGTAGATAGCCCTTTGCTCCAGTCATTGGTTTTCTTCAACAAATATTGTGTAATCTTGATTATTTTTTTTTAGATTTTTTTTTTCTCAATCACTGCGTTTTGTGTAAATCTTTTAGTTTGAATACAACTCAGTAATATAACTTTTTTTTTCCACAGTGAGGATAGTGAAGAGGAGGAGCAAAGATGCCGGGAGGCCGCTGTATCAGGCATTGACATCCTCCAGAACAGCGCATTGCAGAGTATACATATAGCAAACTCCAATGAAACCTGTGACGGTCCAAAAAAGAAGAAGAAACGAAAGAAAAAGAAGAAAAAAGACATAGTAGAAGATGTCCTTCAGACAAAGAGAGAGAGCAGTGGACTGAATGCAAAAAAGAAGAAAGACATAGAGGATGAAAAGGGAGACATTCTTCAGACTAACACAGAGTTAAATGGATTCAAAGTGGAAAACAAAAAAAAGAAGAAAGAGGATAAAGTGGGAGATGTTCTTCAGACAGAGTGTGTTGGACTGATTGTGAAAAAGACAAAAAAGAGAGACATAGTAGAGGATGGTGATTTACTTCAGACAGAGAGCAATGCAAAATATGTGAAAAAGAAAAATAAGAAAAAAGACATTGTAGAGAATGAGCAGAGTTTAGCAGGTGATACTTCTCGGGCACAGAAAAAGAGTAACGGGCTATGTGGGAAAATGAAATAAGAGCACACCAATGGAATATTGTAATGACCTGGGGAACAAATCATAGAAAATATCAGATTTCATCACTGATGATGTACTTTCCATTTCAGGAGTCAGGTAGAATCACGTTCTAACATATGTATGTCAGTGAAAGGCAGGGATGTTCTGAGATGACGCTACAGTGGCTGTCTGTAACCTGTGTATATTCTCCACTGGAGTCTATGTTCTGCTGATACAAATATTTCCAAAAGTCACTCCTGGCGATTTCTACCATTTCTGTCTTTCACTGGCATATCCACACAGGAAGGAAAGCTTATTCATCCACCCACAGTCGACATTTTGCCACTTGCAGCTGTAACACAGGTTTGTTTCAGAGAACGTCATTAGTGTCATTGTGATGATGATGCCATTTGTGTGGAAATAAAACTGTCGATGGAGCTGTGTGAGGGAGACAGGAGGTGACTGTGACTCTCTGGGGTACTGGAATTCTGGTAGTGTGCCATGCTTGCCGAGGACACTGTGTGGAAACAAAGATCACATTGACAATAAGCATTTTCAACATCTTGTCTTTATTCACCTCATAATTTTTGGCTGACCAGGCAATTGCTCTGAAAAGTCAAATGTAATACTCTGGCGCATTGATGTCAACTAGTAACATGATCTGCCGCTAGTCGTGATCACTACGAGCTCCTACCAAGCTCTGCTGAAGTTAGCAACTCTTCTTCACAACTGCAAATGATCCTCAGCTGGAATGTGCTGCACTGTGCTAAGCCTGGCAGTGCTGGTACACTGGCTAATAGCTGTCCGCCAGTGAACCAGCCCTGCACAGCAGAGCTTCATTCAGTGGAGCTAATGGAAGCTCCTTGCAGGTAGTGGTGGTAAGTTCCAGGCAGACGGCAAGCAAGTTATCAAACTATTTGACTACTTAGAACAAACAGAACAAAGGATATGGGTAGCGCCGAAATAAATACAATATTGTGGTAAGTAATCAAAAAAAGTAACAAGATAAAAATGTCCTTTTGCGGTTTTAAAAGTCTTCAAATGTTGAATAAGTGATTTTATTATTGTTTAAATAAAAGTAAGATTTTTAGACTACCTATTTGCTTTGGGACAGTCTTTTATACTTTTATTTAGTTTTTATTTTATTTAATTTGTACTTGGCGCAACCTGTTTCCCATACGTATCCGGTCCATCATCAAAAGTATCCTATGTGGGGATTATTCCACCCACGCTGTTACCATAGAGCGGTTTGTCTGCTCTCAAAATTGTAAGTACATTTCATTTTACTACTACTTATTTGCAAATATGTAGAGCACCATGGGTCTTCTTTTTCTTTAATTGCATATAAACTACACTACAACTACTGTTTGAGGGATATCCTATAAGTGGGGAGTTGAAATACCACTGTAAGCTGTACCGAGAGCTGGTTATAACTCTGAAAAACATGAGTTGGCAATTTTTAGTTCTGCATTGTCTATAGTCCATAAACTTGCAATACTGCAGTATTGGTCTCCTATTTTATCTTTTGCATATGCCATTGATGTGATACCACACCGGAGACATCTTATTCAACATTTGAAGACTTTTAAAACCTCAAAGGGACATTTTCTATCTTTTACTTGGTACCTTTTTTTGATTACTTACCACAGTATTGTATTTATTTTGGCGCTACCTGTATCCTTTGTTCTGCTTGTGACCTTCCTATTCAGATGTGCAGCCCCCTTGTGATCAGTTATTGTAGCGCTGTTCCACCCTTGCTTTTTGTATATGACTATTTACCCTTGAAGGAAGCCAGGGAACTTATTGCCTTGCATCATAACCAATACAGTAGGCTGTAGTAGTTGTAGTGTAAAACTGTGGTGGATAAATGGAGGTTTTCTTGATGCTAGTGTTCCTACTCACCTATAGTAGAGCTATAACCAGCTCAGGAAAAAAATCTCTTTCAGTGGCGTTGATCCCCCACTGGTAGGATATAGGTGAAGGTTAGTAGTACAGGTCCTCACAATAGGGAGAGAGAAAAACAGAAACAAATAGTGCTCTCTGTATGCGTCAATAAAGATAAATTTATTAAAAGGTATATTACTCACATGAAAGTGAGCAGAGAATGCTGCTCACTGTAGTAGCGTAAGTGGTATAATCCCCACCTGGGATTCTTGGGTGAGTCAGGAAATTCAATGTATTCAGTGACCAGGTAACAACAATAAAAATAATAAACACTTTATGTAAAAAAAAAAAAAGGTATATGGCACAAGTACAAATTAAGGGGCCAATATTCCTTTAATAAAATGAGAAAAGATACATTAAAAAGCAGCCAAACGCGTTTCACCAATATATGGCTTCATCAAGTGGCAATAAAAGCAATACCTGGTAGGAGTTTATATAGATACTGACATACATTTAATTTTTTTGAATTTGGCGCCAAAATGACGTCACAATTAAAATTACCATACATTATAAAACTGATCAAAATCCATACATACATATTACTATAAGATTTACAGAGTTACAATATACAGTTTATTTACCAAAACAAAGAGTTAAAAGTGTTTAAAACAAACTTTCTAAAACAACATATGTATGTATGGATTTTGATCAGTTTTATAATGTATGGTAATTTTAATTGTGATGTCATTTTGGCGCCAAATTCAAAAAATGAAATGTATGTCAGTATCTATATAAACTCCTATGTACCAGGTATTTCTTTTATTGCCACTTGATGAAGCCATATATTGGTGAAACGCGTTTGGCTGCTTTTTAATGTATACTTTCTCATTTTATTAAAGGAATATTGGCCCCTTAATTTGTACTTGTGTCATATACCCTTTTTTACATAAAGTGTTTATTATTTTTATTATTGTTACCTGGTCACTGAATACATTGGATTTCCTGACTCACCCAAGAATCCCAGGTGGGGATTATACCACCTACGCTACTACAGTGAGCAGCATTCTCTGCTCACTTTCATGTGAGTAATATACCTTTTAATATATTTATCTTTTTTGACGCATACAGAAAGCACTATTTGTTTCTGTTTTTCTCTCTCCCTATCATGAGGACCTGTACTACTAACCTTCACCTATATCCTGCCAGTGGGGGATCAACGCCACTGAAAGCGATTTATTCCTGAGCTGGTTATAGCTCTACTATAGGTGAGTAGTAGCGCTACCATCAAGAAAACCTCAATTTCTCCACCACAGTTTTACACGATTGGTACTTTTTCTTTTTATTTGTATGTTTCTGCGTGATCCGGACATCAATTACCTCGGATTTCATAAAGCCCACAATACTTTTCTCATCCCTACAATCAAACTTGGACTAATTTTACTTCATATATTTTATCAGGACTTTATTTTATTTCATTCATTTTATGTAAGTACACACTGTTTATATGTTTGGCGCAACCTAATATTTTGTTTTTACATTTTGTATTTTCTATTGTTGTGTTTTGAGGGTACACCCCATTTTTTTAGGTTGCTATCTTTTCTCTAGATACTATTACCACCTAGTGGTCACTTAACGCTGATCCATCTACCTATTCTATGTAGTAGTTGTAGTGCTTAGTGTTGCTTTAGCATTACTCAAGGCATGTAATGCTCTAAAAATTAATAGATCCTAATCCACTTTTTTTTCCCTCTTGAAACTATAGTATTCAGTGGAATTTGAGAGAGAACTGATATGCTGGGCTTATGTTAAAGCAACTATAACTATTTTGTCTTCAAGATTCCCTGCATGGACATCTGTTTGCATGGTGGCACCCATGGAGAGATGTGCTTATGTAAGAACTGTTTTACTTCATTGATCTTCTCACACATGACAATGAGATGCCAAATGTTTCTATTGTGCTAGAAGATGCTTGTTCTCAGCAGTCATCGCTAGTGGTGGAAGATACAAAATAAGAAGATGCAGCAGGCATTTTGCCAAAAACTGTTTCATCCATAAGAAACAGTAGTGTCTACTTTCTTATTATACATTTTGATTGTCTTGGAATTTCAATAAAATTTTATCTCAGTCTGAGTTCTTCACACTCACAAATGATAGTTTTATTTTCACTTGCTTTTATTATACAAACAGATAAAAGAAAAGTGGTTGATCGTTGGATAATGTTTAGGTGTGTATCACAATTAAAAGGACACTCTGGTCACCATAACAACTTCATCTAAATTAAGTTATTGTGCCAGGTGTCCCCAGGTCACTCTCTTGCCTTAAAGGACCACTCTAGGCACCCAGACCACTTCAGCTTAATGAAGTGGTCTGGGTGCCAGGTCCTTCTAGGGTTAACCCATTTTTTTTATAAACATAGCAGTTTCAGAGAAACTGCTATGTTTATGAATGGGTTAAGCCTTCCCCCTTTTCTAGTGGCTGTCTCATTGACAGCCACTAGAGGCGCTTGCGTGCTTCTCACTGTGATTTTCACAGTGAGAGCACGCCAGCGTCCATAGGAAAGCATTATGAATGCTTTCCTATGTGACCAGCTGAATGCGCGCGCAGCTCTTGTCGCGCGTGCGCATTCAGCCGACGGAGAGGAGGAGGAGGAGAGCTCTCCGCCCAGTGCTGGAAAAAGGTAAGTTTTAACCCCTTTCCAGAGCCGGGCGGGAGGGGGACCCTGAGGGTGCGGGCACCCTCAGGGCACTATAGTGCCAGGAAAACGAGTGTTTTCCTGGCACTATAGTGGTCCTTTAAAGGGTTTAACACCAACATTTGCTTCCAACGCCAATCTCCAGGTATCCCGGGTAGTATCTGGCTTCTGAATCTGAGTTACAGATGCCGCTGAGCAGGGTTGCCACTGAGTGGTTAGTGTGGTCAGCTGAAGCTCTAAGCCAGGCATTGGCAACCTTCGGCACTCCAGAGGTTGTGGACTACATCCCCCATAATGCTCTTGCAAAGCATCATGGGAGGTATAGTCCAAAACATCTGCAGTGACTAAGGTTGCCTGTGCCTACTCGAAGCCAATCAATAGATCCCCATTAAATCAAAAAGTCTTTTTTTCAGTTAGTTTTTTATACAATGGGGAGAGCCACTGATTCGCTGATTAAGATTGGAGGCAGGCAGCTCATGGAGATCGGAGGAGGGCGGGTGTATGGCTGGCTAACTGAGAGCAGAGGCAACAAGCAGTAATCTTTTAGCTCTTCTACCTCACACGTCTTCCTATGATGCTGACTCGGCATTACTAAATTGCTCACAAGGAAGCAGAGCAAGAAGACGAAAATGATCAGAGCAGCTGAACCACAGGAAAGGATTCACGCCAACTCTCCCAAAGGTAGGGAGAGGCTGGGTGCACAAATTAAAATAAAACAAATAATAATGAGAGAGAGAGAGTGTGTGTGTGTGTTAGTTAAATCAATGATTGTGAGTGTGTCTGTTTAGGTGAATGTCCCCCCTCCAATCACATGGGAAATGTGTTCTCGCTGTGACTGGAACCAACTCCATGACTGTGATCATCAATCTTGACAATCTCAGCCAGTCTAGTGCTAGTGCTTTCCCATGGAAAAGAATTGGGAGACTTATACATGCATAGCAAAATGCCATGCTGCGCCAATCACCCCAACTAATCGCTTTAGAATAACCCTCAGAGTACTCAGCATTGGTTGTGAGTCCTGCCGATCAAGGCGCTGTCTGTGCTCTGTCTGGAATCATTTAAATTTTGTCAGTACCTCAGAGAAAATGAGGAAATAATGAGCAATGTTTGATAACGTTCATATATTTTGAAGGGGCACTCTCAAGCACCTTAACTATGACCACGTTTTGTAATAGCTATGGTGTCGTACCACTGTTAACGCTCTCCCAATACTCGCAGACTATAATCGCCACCTAAGTGGAAAGGATAATGTGGAAGTATAATATTTGCATTATAGGCTCTGTTTTAATATTATAAAAAAATTCTAAAATAATGTCTACAAAATTTCAGTATTAAATCATTTAGAAAGCCTATAAATAGTGATGTCCCGAACGGTTCGCCGCAGACGGCGAACATATGCGCTATTCGGTCCGCCCTCTATGTCATCATTGAGTAAACTTTGATCCTGTACCTCACAGTCAGCAGACACATTCCAGCCAATCAGCAGCAGACCCTCCCACCTCATGGACAGCATCCATTTTACATTCATTGTGAAGCTGCATTCTTAGTGAGCTGTCCAGGAGGTGGGAGGGTCTGCTGCTGATTGGCTGGAATGTGTCTGCTGACTGTGAGGTACAGGGTCAAAGTTTACTCAATGATGACGAATAGGGGGCGGACCGAACAGCGCATATGTTCGCCGTCCGTGGCGAACCGTTCGGGACATCACTACTTATTAAATGTAGGGCTATATAGGCAGCTTCAGTGTATTGGAAGTGTGCTAATCTTAGTTTCTGTCAAATAGCTCAAATGGTATTTGACAGGAAACCAAAACGAACAGCACCACTGTGACAAACGCTCCTTGCTATGAACGTTTGCCAAGAACTCCTGGAGGAGTGTGAAAGCTGGCCTCCTGCCCACCGACTATGGTCCAGGTTGGAGACACCATTCGGGAGTTACCCTGCCCAGTCGCTATTTGTAGCTTTCCTTGGGTGCCCCTGGTTCGGCATTTTCCCTTCATTCGAATGGAACCGAACGCTAGCTCCCTGGCGGCTGTTCGCATGAACCAAACCTATGAATGGTCCTCAGCGGCACTTAGCCACGACCGCTATGGAACTAATTTCGGCATGAGGACTTTGTGGATCCCTGGTCAGCTCAGCGGTACTTAGCCGCGAATGTTATTGAAATGTTTTCAGCATGAGGTGACTGTGCGGTTACCGGACAATTTGGTCTGGGGTTTTGAACCACTGTGGAATCCACTAGGAGAGCGCTTTTTGGAGGGAAGGTGTCTGAGCAAACGCTACCTGAGAGCCAGGCGGGGCAACCCGTATTTTGGACACAGGAGCTCCCGAAAGTTGACCCTCAAAAGCACCATAGGAAAGTCCTTGTAAGGACTACAGCTCCCAGGACTGTGTGTTGTCCAGTCCCTGGGAGGCAATAGAGCTAGTCCCCTATCCTGTTCCAGGACGGAGAGGCTGCAGGGGGATCCCAATCAAGCCACGGCGACTGGGGCACAAGTGCAGAGGTTTTCCCCGGCTCCAGCCAGGAAGCGATCCTTGGCAGAGGTACAGGGAGCTCCGCTACAACCATAACCACTATAATATGTTGTAATAATTAAGGTCTCTTTAAATGCTTACTTTGTGTCTTTTGCTTGGAATATATTTTACATTGTCCAACCTAGAAGAAGTTTCTTTCACAGATAAACTGAAGACTTTATTTACTGTCTTGGGTTAGAAACACAAACGTGTATTCCTGACCATATAGTGTTAAAACCACCACTTAGGTTGCTTGCCTCCATTAAAAAGTAAGAAAACGTACATAATTGTGATGCTTTGCCCCGCCCCAGTCGGCCCTCTTGGCTGACCTCATCCCATAGGAAAAAACACTGGATTGGCTAAGATCGTCAAGGAGGCGGAGGGGGTCAAAACACCACCCTGGCCAATCAGCATCTCTTCATAGAGATGCATTGAATCAATGCATCTCTATGTGGAAAGATCAGCATAGAGACGCTGAATGTCGTTGTTACAGACTGTGCAGCACTGACCTAGGAAGCACCTCGCCTTTAGTGGCTGTCTGACACTAGAGGTGAAATGTAAACATTGCATTTTCTCTGAAAAGACCGTTTTTACTGCAAAAAGCCTGCAGCCCTTACCACACTGAGCCGGAAAACTATAACCGCTAGACTCTAAACCTCTGTACAGGCAGGTAGCGACAAGATTCCCCGTTCCCCAACCACCGCTCCCCCCCGCTCACCTTACCTCCCCCCGCCCCATCCCTTTCACCGCATCCCGTTAACAAAGGACAGGTACACGTATACACGAAAAAGTCTGATTTAATCTTTATGTATAACTCAACGGAATCCCTACTATGTTATATTTTTTAACCCTATTTTTCTTCTGTACCCCATGCAATGGTTTTACCTATTGGAAACACAATAAAAACGATATTAAACAAAAAAAAAAAGCCTGCAGGGACTGACTTTACCCACCAGAACAACTACCATAAGCTGTAGTTGTTGTGGTGCCTATAGTGTCTCTTCGCTGAACACAAATATTAGTGTTTCAAAACAGTAAACTGTATCACAGCGATTATATTGTCCGTGTAAGTGCCATTTGTGTGTGAAAAATGCAAAAAAATTCACTTTTACTGACAATATCGTCGTCGTAATACATTTTACTGTTTTGAAACACTAATATTTGTGTTCAGCGAAGTCTTCCGAGTAAAACAGTACCCCCATGTACAGGTTTTATGGTGTCTTGGAAAGCTACAGGGTTAAATATAGTGCTAGCAAATTAAATTAGCTGGACCTGCCTGGGTTGTCAGGCAGGTTCCGCTAATTGTAATTAATGAAATGACCTAATTATGAAATTTTATTACATAAATATATACGTCGAATTATATATATATATATGTATATTAATTTTTTTAAATTATTTTTATTTATATATAGGGATATATATAGTGATATATACGTATATACTTATGTATATAGATATATATATATATTTCGTTCTACATGTATTTTGATATTCATATATATATATATTAATTTTAAAATAGAACAAATTTACACACATATATTTATTATTTTTTATTTTATTTTTTAACATATTTACATATTTCTTTATTTATATTATATATAAATATATAATGAAAATTATATATATATTTAATCAATATCATTGTACGTGTATTTTGATAATATATATTTATAATTATATATATTAATATTAAAATACACTTAGACAGTGTATGTGTATATATGTGTATGTATATATATATATATATATATATATATATATACACACACACACACTTAGGTCATATATTTAATAAATACATATATATGATCTAAGTATATATTATTTATTTTTACACTGTTTTAACTTTATTTCATTTTATTTACAGACAGCAGGTGGAGTACCTGTCTTGGCAAGGACCTCGCGATCACATGGCCCAGGGGGGCCAAAGAAGACGGAGGGGGACTCCCTGGGCTCCCATGTAAGTCCCCACACCGCGATCGCCGGCGTGGGATTGCCGGCAACCGGGTAAGTAGAAAGGACGGTTTCGGCGTTCTATGCCGCCCTCTGGCATTTAGAGCCGGTTCCCTAAGGACGGCATTGAACACCCGCCGTCCTTAAGGGGTTAATATGTCAAGGTAGTTGTACTGTAACATTGATTATATGAAAATGTACGTTTGCTTACAACAAATCCGCTCTTTTGTTTATTTTGAAGCCCTATAAGTGCTTTCTTTTTACGTTTGAGTAATAGTTTTCTGTTTTCATTTTTTTTTTTTTTCGCTTTCATATCTGCACACTATGCTGGTACGATGCATTATGGGGCTGGTATAGAATTATAGAATGCTTTTCATTCCCAGTCCGACGCTGGATCCAAAATTCAAAACAGGTTATACAGAAAATGGGAGTATGATTCACCAAGTAAGTATTATTAAAGAAACACTATAGGCAACAAATCAACAGATTTGGTGTATATATCATGCTTCTGTTGTCTCACTGCTCAATTATCTACCATTTAAAGTTAAATCATTTGTGTTTTTGTCCATGCAGGCCTAGCCACACCTTTGCTGGCTGTGACTCACCCAGCTTGCATGAAAACAAACAAAATGGTTTAATTTTCAATCAGGTTTTAACTTGTTTTATAATTTTTTATATCCTGCTCTGTAAAGTGAACTTTTATCACACACACAGGAGGCTTTGCAGCGACTAGACGGCTGTTAACAGAGCAGAAGATAAGAAATTCTCATAAAATAGAATTTGCAATAAAGGAAGTATAAACATTAGATGATTCTTTACAGGAAGTGTTTAGGATGGTTGTGCAAGTCGCATGCAGAAAGGTGGGACTAGGGATGTATAAACAAAGTAATTTAACTACTAAATATCAGATAATTGAGCAGTGAGACTGCAGGTGAATGATCTATACACACCAAAGCTGCTTCATCGAGCTAAAGTTGATTTGGTGCCTATAGTGTTCCTTTAAATACCAAGTCACAACACCCATAAACAAGATTTACAGTTATCACATCCTCTCCATGTTTGCCTCAGGGAAAATAATTGAGCAAATTTATTTATAGTAAAACGGGGATATCATGAAACTCATCTTATTTGTAACAACTATTGGGAGTCTTTGTACACAGTGATTTACCAGCCTGTTTTAACAATATCCTATTTCTTACCGGCTGGACTGGAGGTCAGTCTGTGGCTGGAAGAAAGTTGCAAGATGCTGGAGTCCTGACTCTGTAGTTGTGATCCCTGAGAGTCTCCCTGAGCAGTAGATTGTAGAGGAAAAATCTGGTGAGATTATAACATTTTCAGAATCAGAATAATGACATGTTCTTGAGGCAGTAGAAAAAAGAACCCAAGTTTTTTGTATATAAAACACGCACATACAGACGCACGCATACACAAGGTCTGTTCGTAAAATATCCAGCCATGTAATATGAAAAATAGAGATATTTATTGAAGATACAAGAAACATTGTACATAGTCCCCTTCAAAGTAGGCACCTTGGGACCTCACACAATTCTCCCAGCGTCTCTTCCACTGTTCAAAACACTCTGCAAAATCCTTTGTTGGAATCGCCATCAGCGTCTTCATGGTATTTACCTGATCTCATCAACGAGCTAAAATCTCTTCCCTTTCAAGGATGATGTTTAGTTTTTGAAAAAGCCAGAATTCTCACGGCGCCAAATAATTCAACAGATTCTCGACCATCTTTGACGTGTTTGTGACACACTTTTATTTGTGCTGCACTCAATGCATTGTCCCTGAAAGCCTTCTGAATCATCCAAATGATTTCCGTGGAGGAATACGCAAACTTAAGACAAAATGGCCACACAGTACGCATGCTCACTCAATGGTGTCAAGCGCCCCCACTAACTAGTACAGTGAAGTCGTTATTGTTCACGCATGCGCATTCCACTCCACTCTCCTTGGCTGCCAGGTTACATCGATGTAGCACAAACCATTCTCATCATATTAACAATGGCTGGATACTTTCTGGATAGATCATGTATGTGTGTTTTATATAGCCACAGTGCTGCAGAATCTGAGGGCATTATCAAACCCATTTTAAATTTACGGCAAACCCATTTTAAATTTACCTGTTTGGTGGGTGTCAAGCTAGTAAGTGTTCCCAAATTTGAGGTATCTGTAATTACCATAGTCTGTGGGAAGAAGCCAGCTGAAGCATATTGGGCAACATCAGGTTTGTGGCCATAGAGTGCTTGAGAAAAGAGACAGAAAGACAGTTACATGCCAGCCCTACCAGGCACACATCTTCTCAACTATTAAATGAAAAATGCAAGAAGTGATTAGCTCCCCTAAGCTAAGCACTGCAGGGCCAACTCATTGGTTGAGAGCATCGACTGAGTACTCTCAGACAATGAGCTAAGCCTTGCACTGCCAGTCTAACTCAGACCAGAGAGCTTCTAGGGGCACATAAATAAGTGACTACTAGTTCTCAGTAAAGTTGTCAAACCAATCTCAAACTATTTGATTACTTACCCTGGGATACAACCAGGGCATTGTTTTGACTTGTATTTCCTTTTCCATGTGAGAGTCAAAAATTCAACAGTACCTTGTTCATATAGGTCTTGATAGCTCTGAATTTTCACTTCCTCCAGACCCTTAAAGTTGAAAGCCTTTAAACCTGGGAGGAATGAGGTATTACATGGAGCAGGACACATACAAGATGGCATATGTTTAGGGAATGTCAGCTGGCCACCCTTTTGCTATGCCGTGCGAGACTGCAGGGCAGCACAATTAAAGCAAGGTTCTAGATGTGTTGGGAAGCCTAATCAAAAATATTGCCAAGTCTGGCTAGGAGACCAGATCCCAGGCCAACCCAACATTTTATCCTACTGGAGCATTCAAAGCCTTGACGGGGGCCCACCTAGCCATAAGGTAATAAAATTAATAAGATGGAAGCCTGATTCCCCTTTGCAGTGGGTTTAAATCTGAGTAAAGAACTGTAATGAGCAGCGCTTGGAAGTAACATAAGGGTTTTGGCAAGAGTGTCGTCATCTTGACACTATGGAGTTGACCTATCTATGATATGGCATACCCGTACCAAGATTCAATATCCCAAATGAGGCGTGCATCTTGTTTTAAATGTACTTTGCTTTGATGTATTCCAGTTAAAGACACCAAAAGGCATGTTGTGGACTTTATTTCCCATGTGGCTGACTGTGCATCATAGCAAATGTAATTTTTTTTTTTAAGTTTAAAGGGACACTGTAGGAACTGTAACTTGTTAATCTCCTTGAAGTGGTTATAGTGTCTGGAGTCCCCTTGTACCATCCTTCCATTAAGTAAGCAAATTAATGCTAAGCAAGAGTGCTGCTTGGACTCATGAGGAAGCATTAGCATGAGTAGTAATGGGAGGCTGTGATTCCCTGAAAGTGCCCATTGCAGGTTTGAATTAATATGGCTAGAAGGAAGAGTGTAATTTCTGCCTTAGCCAATCTCCAGCAGGGGAGGAGAAGAGGGTGACGGAAGAATACAGGCACTATAACCAATTCAATGAGAATAAAATTGTTACAGAGCCTACAGTGTCACTAGATAGTCATTCCTGACCTTCCCTTCCCTACCCTATGTTCTGGGGCTTTATTATCTTACCATGTGGAGACTGCAGTTGAGCCATTGTTGCCATAAATGAGTTCTGTGCCATATGACCCTGGACTTGCTGGACGATTGGCTGCTGGTGTGATGGGTGCAGCTGCTGGGAGAACTGGACAGGTTGTAGAGTTGTCAAGCTGCTTCCCACGCTGTTAATGACTGGGACACTCTGAGGTTGTGATGTGAGACCTGAAATAAAGATCAATGTACATTTTACTAAAGCAACCCAGAAAGCGAGCACTGTGCATCAGATGCTTGGATCATAAAGTATATAAGCAGGGGGTGGTCAGTGGGTAAAATCAGAAGAATGTGCAGCTATAGCAATGCAGCAGTGGCAGAGCTGAACTATAGGTATAGACAAGGTTATCATTGGACATTACTATGGACACACCATGTTAATGACTTTAGGAGAGAGACATGTGCAGGACAAATGATAAAATTCAAGAGCAAAAGAATACTTGACAACTGATAAAACCTACTTAATGACTGAAGATAAGAATCATACATATTTCTATGCTCATCAAAAAATTGTAATTCAAATCTTAAACATTTGAGGTAATGAAAGTCACTTGTGCATTTTAATTTTCCTTTGGATAACTGTCTAGGTACATTCCTTCTTTATATAAGAATATGATATATTAAGAACAACAATATTTTGCCATGAAGGATACATGCTAAGTGCAACTTGTTAGACTGGATTTGTGGGAGCAGGCTGGCCTGTTTATACTCGTTTATCACATTCTACAGTCATATGTCTTCTGTTACGGTTACTGTTACCATAGCTACAGCTCAGTTCAGTTGATCCTATATTTACTTTATCTGAGCATCCTCTGTAATGGAATTCCAGTCCAATTCAGGGATTAAAGGGTAACCCAGTAAAGTGAGACTTGTTTGGAATTTTAAGTGGACTTTTTTTTTTTTAAATCTTAAGGAACACACCATATTGTGATGAATGCAAATATGTAATGCTAACACTATATTGTTATAATGACTATTCAATGCTTCTCTATGACCAGAATACCACTAGGGGTGGTTTTAGGCAGCAATGTAAACACTTCATTTTTTCTCAAAAAAAGCAGTATTCGCAGTGCTCAACCTGCTGAGACAGGCTCTAGCCATCAGAACCACTACATTAAGCTGTAGTGGTTGTGGTGCCTATGTTCCTTTAAAGCCAAAGTAACTTAACTGGAAGTATTTGTTTCCCAGTTCAGCTAGTTGAGCCTTAAATATAAACTTAACTTGGAATTCCAGACAATTCTTACTATACTTATTTTGCTCAGTGACGTGTATGTCTAGGACTATCACACATGCTCAGTTCAGTTACATTGGGTCTTGTTTACTTAATTAAGTCCTGCCTGAGTCTACAGTGTGGATTATGAGACATTAGCCGCAATCACTCTATCAGATTTTTGTATGACATACATGTTTCCTATGTTATGGAAATGCATGTATGGCCACAACCACAAATTGCGATTTATTCTTGTCTTAAAATATGCATGGGTGTAATTATTATTACATAAGTCAACCGCATTATTTCTTGGAATTTCTGCTTGAGCTGGCCTTGCCAATAATGGGCTGGGGAACTACAATTGGTGCATTAACTAACTGAATTATTTATTTTGTTTAAAAAGGGATCCCTGTGTTATTTAACAACTTTTCTAGTACATTTTGTAATGGGTTTCATTTTGTTAATGCATTTTATTTTAATAAAAATCCTTCATGTATTTGAAGTATTCTACTATATTTACATTTTATTTTTCACGATGTGATGTAGGGGGTATAGTTCTGGTAAAATTCCAAGTGTGGCAATAAGAGCAAAGATTCCCAGGAAAACAAAAAGCCATCTACAAGGCATATTATTAGAGCAGACAAATGGATATGCTAATTTGAAGAGCTGATTTGACATGTGACATGTTTTCTATGCCTCCCCATTCATTTTCATTACCAATCACCAGTGTTGAGGAGCCTGTATTGTTGAATGCTGGGCCAAGTGCTGTTTCCGTTCCAATCGTCATTACACTGGGGAGTGAGGCCATAATTAAGTTTTGGGTCTGGCCAATTGTGTGCTGTCCATGGTCTAGGCTGTGCAGAGCAGTCAGTGTGCTCACTGGAGGAAGAGAGCCACCTGTTGATGGGATTAGCTTGCTGTCATTGTTCATCAAACTGTGGCTATGCTCCAGGCCAGAGGGAGACATTCCACTCTGATTGTTTAATAATGCGCCTCCTCTTTCGTTGGAAGATTCATGAGTGTATCGGAGTCCTGGTTAGATAAGAAGTAAAAATATGATTTATGATGACAGTTAAAAAAATTTAAAATAATGAGGTCCCTAAGAAAAAAGGTGACACTTACCATGTCCCTTGGAAGGTGGAAGGTCATGGTTCGAGAGAGAAGGTGGTGTATTCTGTTGCCCATTATAAGTGTCCATTGCTAGTTTGTGTCTAAATGCCTCCTCTTTACGCCTGTTGGCAAACCAATTATATACACGTACTTCTGTCACCAGATTGGAGCCCAATCCCTGTGCTTGAGATGGGGAGACACCTCTTTGCAGGCATTCTGCCCTTGGATCATAGAAAAAAAAAGCCAGGAACACAATTACACAAATGTTCCCTATTGGCAAGGTATTTTGGTAATGAATCTTTTCTATTGTAGAGTGTGATTGACGTAATGATTTGTATACATTTATTGCAGCATTTCACTTACAGTATTAAATCTGGTGGGGCATATACACACTCACATATATATTTGCATCTCAAGAATTTGGTTTTTAATCTTTGTAATGGCTTAACAATAACGACCTAATCCCTGTGCTTACACTAACTAAAAAAAGAGCAGTTTTGTGGGTCCCCAGGACAACTCTGAATACCAGAAGAGTCCTAAAAAGGGGTCTTATAGGGAATTATAGATGGAAGGTTGCTGTGAGCTTTAAATAAGGTGAGATCAGGGCAAATAGGTATAAACAACAAATAGAAATGAAGATTAAATTTTTTTTTTTACTGTAACCAGCACATAATGAAAAACATTTGTTTTCTTGTTCTACAATTGCTATTCCTTCGCCGTAACCTTCTGCATTATGGCCAATATTTCTAATTCCTATAACCCAAGCATATCAAACTCTGCTCACCCAGATGTCTCTGAACTACAAAATTCAAGACTCTCTGGCAATCTATTGCTGTCAAAGAATTCTGGGGGCTGTAGGTCAGAGCTGGAGAACCCTGCTATATCTTTACTATAAACAAGATTTATTAACTTAATTAAGAATAGTGGAGTATTAAAGGATTACTCCAACCGTTACCAAATCTTTTTTTTAACTGAAAATGCCTTTTAGTGCATTACTGTAGGCCCCCCCCCCCCGCCCTTATAATCATGAAAAAAATATTTTATTTTACTTAATCTAGCTTCGCCCAGTGTGGCTCTTTCATGCCCCATACTGACATCATCCAGCATGCGTGCTGTTCAATCGCAGGCTCTTCATAGAGAAGCCTGTGAATGGACCATTTTCCAGCTCAAATCATATGCGTGAACTCTGAGCCGGTAAGGGGAAGGAGGATATTAGGGTTATTTTTTATTTTATTTTTAAAAAGTATATTTAAGTGACAAGGGGAGGGTATTTCTAGCTTTGCAAAGGGTAAGATTTTTACGTCAGTTGACCGCTTACAGTACGCATTGAAGACAGACATAAAATAGAATTGACGTTAGGCAAACCGGAGTTCTGTATCAACTAGCCACCGGAACAAAGGTAAAAATGACTCTGTATGTGCAGGGTTTCAAGTAGAAACACCGCACATACAAACTCCTGCCACCATGGCCACTTCAAATAACTGAAGTGGTCATGGTGGTTGGAGTAACCCTTTAAGTAGTCAAGATAGAAAAAGTTTCTAACTTGATTTTCCCACTACAGCTGTTTTGGCCTAAACGTTTTAATTCCCTTGTCAATTCTTCAGAATTACAGTTAAGTGAATAAATTTCATGTGTTGATAGGACAGTTTTTGCCCCCATTACCTGTTACATTCCTCTACCAGTGCTTCACGCTCCTCCTTACTTGGATTCTTCTGTCTTTCATATGCTTGAAACAGGATGTGCTGAGAGGCTGGACCCCACTTGAAACGGTTCCTTCGCATTTTTTTGCTCGGTGCCTCATCACAAGATACGTCATCGGAGAGCATTCCCTGCCCGGCATGTGTGAATTCTGTCAGCACAGATACAGACAGTGTTAGGGATATCACCAATATATTGTGTATACATCTATTAAATCTCTGCAGTTTACACGTATTATGTTTTAAAGAGAGTAAAAGCATATGTAGATTGTAACCTGTTGTTACAAACTAGCACTATCCAGCTACTGTAAATGGCCTGTTTGTGGCTGTGTATTAGATACTTGCTTGTGATATTTATTTATTTGTGGAAGCCATATCAATATTGTTGACATCCGTCTATCCGTTAGCTATTAGGGTGAATAAATCTGTACCTAGACACAAAGTTAACACTGCATACCAAGCACATGCAGTTCTGGACTTTCCAATGAGAATGTCTAACATTTGTACAGATTTATCCAAACACTATAGCTTATGTTTAGAAATCTGGATGTTTAGCTTGAAGTGGCAAAAACGTACATCCAATGAAACATAACTATTTTCTTATCTTAATCATATAACCATATATACTGCAATGAGGGCTGACCTCTGGTGAGACATTCTGTGGTTAAATATTCCTTCTGATCACAGTTTTGGCCTGGGGAATAAAGTGTGGGAACTCACCCAAGTTCCACCCCCCCCCCAAAAATAAAATAAAATACACTCGTATGCATATATAAACGCGTGCACACACACACTCAGGTGAACACATTCATACACACACATACACTCAAAGAAACACACACACATACACACGCACACTCACAGCCACACACTCACAGATACACACACACACACATACACTCATACACTCACACACATACAAATTATTCATATTTTTTTAAAAATGTCCTACCTGGAGAGCTGGCGTGGACCTGTCCCTGGGGTCCAGTGGGGCTTCAGTGCGGCGGCACCTGTCTCGCTGTCAGCTGTGTCCTCTCTGCTCCCTCTCGCCACGAGGGCTGTCTACTGATGCTGGGAGCCAGAATATTACGTCATATTCCGGCTCCTGGCATCAGCAAACGGCGCGCGGTGAGATGGAGCAGAGAGGATACAGCTCCCTCGCCGCGTCTGGCAGCGAGACAGGTGACAGCCGGGGGTGGTCCATCAGGTGGCCATTAGGCCACCTCTTGGGCCCCCCCCATGACAGGGGGAACACGGGGGCCTATAACATAAAGGATATTATGTGCAGAAAACAAGACTGATCATCGATTAAATTGCAGAATTAATGAATTATCATCACCTACACTTTCAAATAGACTGACCATTACCAGTGTTCATTTTTGCAGCAAATTTCAATTTAGTTTTAGCTAAATCTCTAGTTTAACTAAATCTCTGGATCGGCATATACAACAGCGTGTTACAGTTCCTGACAATATCCAGCAACTTCGCACAGCCATTGAATAGGAGTGAACCAACATTCCACAGGCCACAATAAACAACCTGATCAACTCTATGTGAAGGAGATGTGTTGTACTGCGTGAGGCAAATGGTGGTCACACCAGATACTGACTGGTTTTCAGACCCCCTTGGTACCTCCCCAATACAGTAAAACTTCACATTTTAGAGTGGGCATTTATTGTGGCCAGCAAAAAACAGGTCGCAAGAGTATTCTGAGAACGGACAGCAACTGAAATAGCCTGCCTGTCACGACTACTAGTGTGGTCCAGCACGCAGAAACTATGTAAACATATACATAAGAAGGAAAAGGAAAATAAAAGGACAGAGCGTAAACCGGACCTTAGAATGGCCGGACTAATACGCTAGAGACAGAGAATGGTCAAAGGGAAAGCCGAGGTCAAGGAAGCCAGAAAATACTCAATACCGTTTACACAAGCCAAGTCAGGGGAACCAGAATTCAGAATAACCAGGGAAAAGCCAAGATCAGGATACCAGGAAATCAGATTCACAAAGATAAAGCACTCTCAGGAAACCAGGAACAGGAAACCACGACAGGGTAGGTACTGGGGAGAGCTAGGGATTTAAATATCCCTCTCTATGCTCTGATTGGTCAGAGGGAGACCTCTGACCCCAAAACGTGAGCGTGTGTTGATGTTGTGACGTCACGCGCACATTATTATAATTTTCGGGGGCGGAGCTAGAGATGGACGCGACTACGCGGTGAGCGCCATCTTTAATTTGGGCGCGACGCCCGGAAGACCTGGGGGAGCGGTTGCCGGCCCGCCGACGAGCAGGTAAGCTCGTGCTGTTGGCCAGGCTGTGTCAGTCGGGCATGGCCGTGCCACGTGGCGTGCCAGCAACCGCAACAGTACCCCCCACTCGAAGACCGCTCACCGGGCGGGAAGGACCCGGCTTAAGAGGGAAGCAGTCGTGAAAGGACTGGACAAGACGGGGCGCATGAACCCGGTCAGCAGGGACCCAACAATGTTCCTCAGGACCATACCCTTTCCAGTCAATAAGATAGGACAAGATACCTCCAGAAATTTTGGAGTCCAGTATAGAACGAACCTCGTATTCCTCCTGGTCACCCACTACCAAGGGTGGAGGAGGAATAGACGACACTCTAGTGTATCGATTGCAAGTAAGAGGCTTGAGCAAAGATACATGAAACGAATTGGCAATCCTCATATGGGAAGGGAGTGCCAAGGAATAGGTCACCGGATTGATATGTCGGAGGACTCGAAAAGGACCTATTTACCTAGGGGCAAATTTCATGGAAGGAACTTTAAGCTTGATATGGCGTTTGGATAACCACACCTTGTCACCCGGTTGATAGACAGGATTGGTTCCCCGTCTCTTGTCAGCATGGACCTTCGCACGTTTTGATGCCTTTTATAGAGCTGAATGAACGGAATTCCAAGTGCCATGAATAGAATCCAAATGAGTGTTCAAAGAGGAAATATCGGTATCCGAAAATTCAGAAGGGAAAACCGTGGGGTGATAACCCTGGTTTACAAAAAATGGACTGTGATTAGAAGATTCCTGGCGAACTCAGCCATGGGTAAGAGCTCATACCAGTTAGACTGATTGGCATTAATAAAACAGCGCAAATAGGACTCTAAAGACTGATTGGCTCTTTCTGCTGCGCCATTAGTTTGAGGGTGGTATGCTTAAGAAAATTAGAGTTTACAAAAGGAACCCCAAAACCTAGAAATAAATTGGGTACCTCTGTCAGATACTATGTTTTTGGGCACTCCGTGCAACCGAAAGATCTCTCTCAAGAATATCGGTACGAGATCTTGAGCAGATGGTAATCTTTTAAGAGGTATAAAATGTGCCATTTTTGAGAATCTATCGATGACCATAAGGATTGTATTAAACCGTTTGAGCTGGGTAGGTCCACAATGAAATCCAAGGCTAAATGGGTCCATGGAGCATTAGGTATGGGCAGTGGTTGTAACAGTCCAGGAGGTGACCTAGGAGGGACTTTAGAAACGGCACATATTTGACATGCCCCAACGTAATCTTTGATGTCGTTCCTAAGTGTAGGCCACCAAAACCTCCTGGAGATAGCAGAGAGAGTTTTATGGACTCCAGGATGACCTGCTGTGAGATTATCATGGAATAAATCAAGTACCTTTTTTCTTAATGGTGGTGAAACATACAGTTTATCCGGAGGTTTCCCCAGAGGTGCCTGAGTTTGATCTGCTATTATGGCACAGAAGAGTGGAGAAGACACTTCGGAAACTGTAGTGGCAATGAGGCATTCTGGAGGTATGATAAGAAATACCTCCTGTTCAGGAGCTTCATCTGTCTCAAATTGTCTAGACAGAGCTTCTGCCTTAATGTTCTTGGTCCTAGGCCTATAAGTAATTACGAAATTGAATCGAGAGAGGAACAATGACCATCTAGCCTGACGAGAGGACAATCTCTATAAGCCAAATTCTTATGATCGGTAAAAATCAGAAGTGGCTCTTTGGAACCTTCCAAGAGATGCCTCCATTCTTTAAGGGCAAGTACAATGGCCAAAAGTTCCCTATTCCCAATGTCATAATTTCTCTCTGCAGGTGTGAGTTTGCGAGAGAAAAATCCACAGGGATGTAAAGGCGCATCAGGACTTTCTCTCTGAAACAGAATGGCTCCTACTCCTTTTTCTGACGCATCTACTTCTAGAATAAACGGCTTGGTTGGATCGGGATGGGTCAGGACAGGTGCTAAGGAAAATAAAGATTTTAATTGTTCAAATGCCTCTCTCACTTCTTTGGGCCATGTTTTGCAATTTGCTCCTTTTTTGGTTAAGTTGGTAATAGGAGAAATTACAGAAGAAAAACCTTTAATAAATTTGCGGTAATAATTCGCAAAACCTATGAAGCGTTGTGTAGCCTTAAGGCCCTTGGGCAATGGCCATTGTAAGACTGCTTCCAGCTTGCGGGGGTCCATCTTGAAACCAGACGGAGATATAACATATCCGAGAAATTGTATCTCCGTTTGGTCAAATTGGCATTTCTCCAGCTTACAGTAGAGACCGTTCTTTAACAGGGTTTTGAGTACTGTTCTCACATGTTCGTGATGTGTCTCTAGGTCTGGGGAATAGATGAGAATGTCGTCTAGATACACTAAAACGAACATGTGGAGGTACTCTCTAAGGACATTGTTGATAAAATCCTGGAATACCGCTGGAGCGTTGCATAATCCAAACGGCATAACCAGGTATTCGTAATGTCCCATTCTAGTATTAAACGCGGTTTTCCACTCATGACCGTCCTTAATCCTGACTAGGTTGTACGCACTTCTGAGATTGAGCTTAGTGAAGACTCGAGCTCCTTTCAACCTGTCGAATAACTCAGAAATAAGGGGAATGGGATAGGCGTTTATCGTAATTCTATTCAAACCCCTATAGTCTATACAAGGACGTAGGTGTCCTTCTTTTTTAGAAACGAAGAAGAACCCAGCCCCAGCAGGTGAGGAGGATATACGGATATGACCCTTTCTGAGAGCATCCTTTATATATTCCTCTAAACAAAGGTTTTCTTGGGGGGATAGAGCATATACTCCTCCTTTGGGAGGCATAGTACCTGGTAATAAATTTATAGCACAGTCATAGGGTCTATGTGGTGGTAACCCCTCTGACTGGGCCTTGATGAACACCTCCTTTAAATCCAGATACTGCGGTGGGATTTCTGTGGTTAGGGGAGGGGCAATGGGAATATTGATGGTACCAATTGGTTGTGGCACCTGATTTAAGCAAACACCTCTGCATCTCTCACCCCAACTCACAATCTCTCCTTCAACCCAATCTAAACGTGGATTGTGTTTCTGGAGCCAAGGGAAACCGAGTATTATCGGATACGTAGGTGAAGATATGAGTTGAAAAACCATCTCTTCAGAGTGTAGAATACCCACTGAGACAGTGATCGGCAGTGTTTCGTGTGTGATGAGAGGCTGGGTAAGGGGCCTCACATCGATAGCCTCTACTGCTATAGGTCTCTCTTTCTGTCTTAAGGGCAGGAGAAACTTTGCAGAGAATTCTTTGTTTAGAAAATTCTCCGCTGCCCCAGAGTCAATAATAGCCTCACACTGTACAGCGGTTTTCTTATAAGACATGGTAACGCTTATAAGGAAACAGTTCTTAGTCAATTTAGGGGACATATACATCACACCTAAGGTCGGTCCCCGAACGTGCCTTAGGTGTGCAAGTTTTCCGGCCGGACTGGACATGAAAATCTTTGATGTCCCTTTTTGTCGCAATACATACACAACCCCTCATTGCGTCTGTGTTGTCTCTCTGCCTCAGTGAGTCTAGTAATGCCCAATTGCATGGGTTCAGATTCTGGAGGTGGAGCTTGGCTAATCACCACTGGGTTAGAGAAACGAGGGGCTATGGACAAGTTAGGACGTCTATTACGTTGTTTGTTTTACTCTCTTTCTCTGAGCCTGTTATCAATATCTATCATATAAGCAATAAAGTCATTAAGGTTGACCGGAAGGTCTCTAGCTGCGGTCTCATTCTGTATATTATCAGCTAAACCTTCTGAGAAAGCAGCCACCAAACCACTATTGGTCCAGTCAACCTCAGATGCCAATGTTCTGAACTCTATGGCGTAATCAGCTACAGAGCGACTGCCTTGCTTAATTCTCATTAGGGTTTTGGCAGCATTCTTTTCTCTTAATTTAGGCTCAAAAGTAGCCTTAAATGCTCTTAGGAAGACACTGTAATCACGGGCTACGGAGTTTCCACTTTCCCATAAGGGGTTAGCCCAGATTAAAGTCTTTCCTTGTTAATTGGTTCATTAGATAGCCAATTTTTGATCTATCTGTAGGAAATGAACCGGGGGAAGCTTCGAATTGGTATTCAATTTGGTTTAAAAAAAACAAACTCTAAATTCTTTAGAATCACCTCCAAAACGAGGGGGAGGTGAAAGGGTTATAGATGGTGGTTTATGTGCCACAGGAGCCACTACAGGTGGCGGAATCACAGGTGGTACAGGAGGTGCCTCCAAATAAGCAGTTCTCTGTAGCAAGGTCTGAAATGCCTGGGCAAATTGATCTAACCTGTGGTCCATATCCTCCACCCTATTCTCACAGGCAATCATATGTTTGCATAGTTCCGCAGGATCCATGGCCCTGTCGTAATGTCACGACTCCTAGTGTGGTCCAGCACGCAGAAACTATCTAAACATATACAGAAGAAGGAAAAGGAAAATAAAAGGACAGAGTGTAAACCGGACCTTAGAATGGCCGGACTAATACGCTAGAGACAGAGAATGGTCAAAGGGAAAGCCAAGGTCAAGGAAGCCAGAAAATACACAATACAGTTTACACAAGCCAAGTCAGGGAAACCAGAATTCAGAATAACCAGGGAAAAGCCAAGATCAGGATACCAGGAAATCAGATTCACAAAGATAAAGCACTCTCAGGAAACCAGGAACAGGAAACCACGACAGGGCAAGGTACTGGGGAGAGCTAGGGATTTAAATGACATCTGACCCCAAAACGTGCGTGTGTGTTGACGTTGTGACGTCACGCGCACGGTATTATAATTTTTGGGGGCGGAGCTAGAGGTGGATGCGACCACGCGGTCAGCGCCATCTTTAATTTGGGCGAGACGCCCAGAAGACCTGGGGTGCGGTTGCCGGCTCGCCGACGAGCAGGTAAGCTCGTGCTGTCGGTGAGGCTGTGTCGGTCGGGCACGGCCGTGCCACGCGGCGGGCCGCCGACCACAACACTGCCCTTCGGTGGGTCCCTGCTTGTGGCCAGCCTAAGGCACACCTTTGCAATAATCATGCGGTCTAATCAGCATCTTGATATGCTACACCTGTGAGGTGGATGGATTATCTCGGCAAAGGAGAAGTGCTCACTAACACAGATTTAGATGGATGTGTGAACAATATTTGAGAGAAATAGGTCTTTTGTGTACATTGAAAAAGTCTTAGATCTTTGAGTACGGCTCATGAAAAATGGGGGCAAAAACAAAAGTGTTGCGTTTATAATTTTGTTCAGTGTATTTTATTTTTGTTAATTCATATTTTAACAGCTGGTGCATAACAATAGACTTGTATACTAAACTAGATTATAGTTGACAATTTACTAATCTGGACATCAGATATTTTTATAGCAGCATACTAGCTGTCTTCTACCCATTTTAGATCCACAGCTTTATTTGGCCATATGTCACAGTAATCTAAAGTACCCAGCATGCGGAACTTGAATCCTAAGAAATTCCTGATAGGAGGAAAAGCAGGATAGTACAAATTACCAGCCCTTAAAATGGTGCAGCGTAACATGGAGCCGAAAGAAAGAAGAAACAACACCAACTACAAACAGAAGAATACGTAAAAAAGAAGTTGAAGTTAAGGAGTGGAGAAATCAGAGCAACAAGAGAATAGGGCTAGAAAGGCTGAAGCTGATGAACGCATGTCTCACTTCAGCTATGTAATGTAGGGCAGGGTCCATACCAAACAGAGACAAGACAAATGAGATGTGAGCCTGCTAGAAACCACATTACTGTGTGCTCAGAAGGTGCGGGTGTGCTGGCATATGCATGACATGGCCATAGTTTGCATGGCACACCTTAGATTAAGGATAAGAGATCTGGAGAAGCCAATGTGCGGCATTCACAATGACCCCAGAAGAATGGGTGGCATCACCACATAATGTAACTGGTGAGCCTGTCCTGGCCTCTACAGCTTGTGAAGTGAAACCATACTTACGTTTGGCAATCTCTCGCTGCTTGCCCACATACCAAGTGTACAGAGCTGCCCGCTTTTGTGTCTTCATGGGTGTACCCTTGTTGAGGTGCTGGGAAAGGTGTGACTGGTTGAGCCCTGTGGTGTCCACCACTTCTCTTTGTGGAATGTTGTGTTGCTGAAGGTATGATTTTACCAGCTTGGCCACGTGCCATGGGTCCTCCCTATAATGCAAAGTGAGAAGATATAATCTTAGCAATGTAAACCTATAATGAGAGGTAATGTAGAAGCCAATAAACAGTTTCAACTTAACTGAACACTCAAACATTAAAACAGATTTTGAGTGTTCCTTTAATCAGGATTGTGCCAGGCAACCAACCCCACTTAATTAAAAAATAATTATTACTCAACTTTCTATCTAACAGCAAGTGCGCTCCACTGGTAAACTCCTGTCTGGCAAAAGTTGGCAAACACCACAAATATGCCAATAAAAAATGGGAAAACTCACATAAAGAAGCATTGCCAAATGCTTCCCTACAGAAAAACATTACTTCCACTTAAATGTTTGTTCAACCACAGTCAGTTAGGAAGCCCTTTTAGCTGTGAGCTTGACTGAAAAGGGATGTTTTCAAACTGTCCCTTATCATTTGAAAAGAGTGACAATTTCCTTTAAAATCTGCACTTTTACAAATAGGGACAGGCTCGGCATACAGGGGGATACCTGACACTAAACCTCAACTAGGGCACTATAACATTAGGAAAAAAGGTTTGTATTGCTAAAGCTACAGTGCTCCTTTATAGACAGACTAGCAGGGTCAATTGTTACAATCTGCATTCACAGTCTATGTATGTTTCCGAATCATTAGCAGACTGAGCTAATGATTAAATAGAACAGATTACTGCACTGACTACATTGTACCCGGATGCCTTCTCTCATTTGAGCAATACCCTCCCACATCTGCACAATGAACACATTTTCCCAGGACGCTCCACTTGTGAGATTCCTTATTCTGCATGTTATTGGTAAATTATCATTAAATGTCACAATTTAAACATATATATCCCAAATGAACATTACATACTGGCGGTAACCCCATTTTTTTTTTTTTATTCTTTTTATAGGTCGTGCTTAAGGTAACAGACAGATTCGCACAGCCACAACAGCTGGTGCTAGCAGAACAATAAACATTTGTTAACAGTGGTATGGCTTCTAATACATTGCACATTTTGTGGTTTTTTTTGAGTGATAGAGGATTAAGCAGTAGCTGGAATTTGTATTTAGGGCCCCCACCCGCCGATCAGGGGTGGGGGCCAGGGGGGAGGACATTAGGTCCCCCCCCTTATTCTAGTTTAGGGCCCCCACCCACCGCTCAGGGTTGGGGGCCCGGGGGGAGGACATTAGGTCCCCCCCTTATTTTTGTTTAGGGCCCCCACCCACCGCTCAGGTGGTGGGGCCAGGGGGGAGGACATTAGGTGTCCCCCCCTTATTTTTGTTTAGGGCCCTCACCCACCGCTCAGGGGTGGGGGCCGGGGGGGAGGACATTAGGTCCCCCCTTATTCTAGGTTAGGGCCCCGACCGAGCCCCCCCCATTCTAGTTAGGTGGCTCCCCATCTGTATTTAGGGCCCCCACCCACCGCCCAGGGGTGGGGGTCAGGGGGGAGGACATTAGGTCTCCCCCCTTATTCTAGGTTAGGGCCCCGACCGAGCCCCCCCAATTCTAGTTAGGTGCCCCCCCAATCTGTATTTAGGGCCCCCACCCACCGCTCAGGGGTGGGGGCCAGGGGGGGAAGGACATTAGGTCCCCCCCTTATTCTAGTTTAGGGCCCCTACCCACCGCTCAGGGGTGGAAGCCAGGGGGAGGACATTAGGTCCTCCCCCCCAATTTGTATTTAGGGCCCCCATCCACCGCTCAGGGGTGGGGGCAAGGGAGGAGGACTTTAGGTCCCCCCCTTATTCTTGTTTAGGGCCCCCACCCACCACTCAAGGGTGGGGGCCAGGGGGGAGGACATTAGGTCCCCCCCAATTTGTTTTTAGGGCCCCCACCCACCGCTCAAGGGAGTGGGCCAGGGGGGAGGACATTAGGTCCCCCACCCTTATTCTTGTTTAGGGCCCCCATCCACCGCTGAGGGGTGGGGGCCAGGGGAGAGGACATTAGGTGTGTCCCCCAATTTGTATTTAGGGCCCCCACCGCTCAGGGGTGGGGGCCGGTGGGGAGGACAATAGGTCCTCCCCCCTTTTTTTACTTTAGGGCCCCCACCTGACGCTCAGAAGGGGGGACCTTTTTTTTTAATGCCCCTACTCGCGGTATAGCGAGTAGGGACATCATTTACTAATACTAAGTAATCTTTACTTAGTATTAGTAAATTTGGCTGAAAGACCAATTTAGGTCTTTCACCCTTTTAGTAGATAACTCCCTAATACCGTGGATTAGGGAGTTATCTACTTATTCATTCCTGTCATTACATGACTGGCTAAGTAACTTACATTTTATATGAATGTATGTTACTTGATTGTTGTAAGTGTTCCAAATGCTTACAAATGCTTACAGCTGAATCCTGGCTATGTTTGTATACTTTTTATTTGAAATTGTATACAGTGTAACATTCTTCTTCTTTCACTCGGTAAGTATATTAGTACTTAGGCAATACTGTGCTTCGGAACTTTGGCACTTTGACACCTCGGAACTTCGGCACTTCGGCACTACTACACTTCGGAAATTCAGTAATTTCTGCACTTTGGGACTTCAGCACTTCAGCAATTCAGCTATTCGGACATTCGGAAGCACCCGAATGTCCGAATTACCCGAGATTCGGACAAATTTTAATTCGGACCGAAACAAATTGCACATGTCTATAGCCTATACATTGGTACAATTAATGTGTGTGGTACATCCCGGGCAGTACTTTTGTATATATAAATTTCGAGTGGCTACTTCCTCAAAGAGGCGTACATCGTGCTATTAAGTATCACGCCTGGCTACGCCAGTATGGGTTGCGAGGGCCCTGGTAGAATTGGGTCAGGCGGGGGGGAGAAAGTATTTGGTCGATGGACCATCCGTTCAGTTGGGTACATAAGGCACACTTTTTCAGAACTAGTTAAACTAACATCTAGAACTACATAACATTTTAATTAGCATAGTGTCACTGGTGTGTTGCTACATGGCTGCATGTGTGGCCACAGTCTGATCTCGTTTGGATCCACGTAGGACGAAGGGGGTCACCCTATCTGGGTTCCATTGATAAGTCAGATTGGCGGCTCCCCAGGTGATAGTGGTGTGCAGAGAGTCCTTCAGCAGTCCCAGGGTGGGTAACAAAGCTACTGTTTGCTTGAATTTTCCATGCTGGATCAACAGAGTGCAGGTCATTTGCCATTTATATTGTATGCCATGTTGTCGCAGTAGTGTAGTGAATGGCTTGATCGATCTCCGCCAGGCAAGTGTGCCCCCAGTGAGGTCTGCATAGAATGATAGTTCCATCGCTTCAAATTTATAAGGTGAGCAGTCCCTGGTCGCTGCCACGACTGCAGCTTTTTCTTTATGTTGCTGGAACCGCAGGATGAGATCTCGAGGTACCGGGGTTGGTGCTTTAGCCGGTTTCGGGGCCCCGCAAAAGTCGTCCAGGTGAACCGCCTTAGCCTGCCGTGGTGGAAGCAGGGCCACTAATAAGTGTTGCAGTAAATGTACTGTCCTCTGGGATGCCCCAGACTTTCAAATGGTTGGCCCGTTGTGCGTCCTCGAGTGCCGCAAACCGGCACTCATATACCTCCTTTTGTTGCTGGAGTCGCTGTACTTGCTGCAGTGCTGATATTTGGTCAGTGTGGCCGTTGGTAGCAGACTCCAGGTCTTCGATTCGTCCTGTTAGGCCATGAATGTCAGCTCGGAGCGAGGCAACGTCTGACTGGAGGGTCTTCTGGAGGTCTGCAAGAAGCAACTGCATCGGCTCTCTGGGCGACCGGCACTGGTGTTTGCATGGGAGGTAAGTCAGCTGCCTCTTCCCCCGAGGAGAAATCATCCGATAGCTTGGAATAGGTCTCTGGGTAGGTGGCCATCTTGGGCCCAGATGCCCCTTGTGTCTGCCTCAGGAGTTCAGCAATGTTTGGTCCCTGTCTCGGTTTGTCTAGTCTGGTCTTCTTTGTTTTGTGACCCATCTTGCTTTCTTGTCACCAACAACCCCCGAAAGTAAGGAAATTAATGTTTAGGTGATGCCAAATGGGTAGATTTGGGCCTGAAATTGCAGGAGCTCATGTGCCATGCGACTGTTCAGCTCTGTTGCTAAGCTCTGCCCCCCCGGTAACCCCATATTTTAATGCGTTATATTGATAAACGCTTTTCAGCTAGGAAGAGTAAATCAAATGCTTTTTAATCCACATCCAATTAAATCGATTGATTTAGGATTTACCTGTGGAGTCTTATTCCCTGATTTGTTTGGATTAGAGGGTCGTGGCTACCAGTGAACGGCACCAGACGTGTTTCCCCGGAGCTCCGATGCAGCTCCGACCTAAACTGCAAGTTACTGTATGGGGCGCAAACACAAAAAATCTCGCCATCCAGACAGTTTCGGTTTACCTGATATCAGGCTTTCTTTCAAGAGACATGTGGAGCGTGTACTCTCCAAGATGGAGCAGGAGGCGCAAAGGGAGACTGAGGCCTCAGAAGAAACACACGAGGATGAGGGATCTCAAACATCAAATGAAGCAGAGGGAGTGTATAAAGAGTCCGAGTCAGATGCGGACTTATCTCCCTCCACTAAGGGAGACATCAAGAGGTTAATGCTGGATCTAAGGCAGGTGTGGAAATCTGACCTTGAGAAAGTCCAAGCCGAGATAAAGATCATCCATGGGAGACTGGACACCAGCGAGATAAAGGCAAGAGACAGCCAGATACAGAACACACAGACTCAAGTGTAAAGTCTTACCAACCAGGTCAAACAGCTGAACAGAGCAGTGGCAGTGCTAGAAGCAAGGCGCGGAAAGAGGAATATTCGCCTGCGAGGGTTTCCCTGAACGAGTCAGAGGGGAAGAGCTGCTGCACTTCACCCAGCAGCTAGTTTCCTCAATGGGCCCTTAAGAGAAGCTCGGATCTCTCACCGATAATTTTAGCATTCAGGGTCTGCAAGGCAGAGACACTATCATAGTCATTAAAGACACTGCAGCCCGATCTGATATTCTGTCCAGATCCAGAGCCTTGGGGATGGTAATATTTGAAGGCTGCTTGGTGGCACTGTATGGAGACTTCCCGTTCATGGTCCTAACAGAGAGATGACTGCTGGCCCCCATTGCAAAGAGGCTGAGAGTCCAGTCCATCAGATATCGCTAGGGCATGGAGGATTCTCTCATAGTCCCCAAGCGGGAAGCGCTGCTCACCTTGAACTCTTCTGAAGACCCAAAACCCTTCCTTCGGAGGCTTGGGTTAACGACGGTACCACCCAAGACTATTGGGCCCACGCCAGCAGAGACAGGGTCAATCGATAGCTCTAAGGAGGGCAGCTCATGGCCCCGGGCTGCTCACTCTGGGACTACTGTCCGCAGACTGCAATCTAAACCATAATATATGCTACCAACTAAGATAGCAAAGGCAGTAAATGGTCTTACTGCAAATGTTCACCTCAACAGCGGCCCCAGTAAATACCCCAAGCCTGTTTGGTTTAATCACTTGGTAAAGTTCTTGCTTTACGTTCAGTTGTGTACGGTTTTCCTGTAGAATTATTTATCCCAGCCGGCATATTACCATGCTCAAGCCCGGTTTAATAAGTCCTACTCCCCTAGGATGACAGCTACACATGTCTAACAGTCGCTCTATGAATACTATGCTTTCTTATTGTTACTTTCTTCCTCTTATACAGTTACATACCAATAGTCGTGCGAAATGTTCTCTGATACCATGTGATGTTGTTGTAACGTATCTTTTCCCACAATATGACACAGATTGGATTTAAAACTCTAATAAATACAATTGGTTTTTTTTTTTTTTTAATGCATTGGATTAGATATTTCTGCCCATTCTTTATTTTAAAGGGAAATAAACATATTCCATTTACAGGACACGTAATTCAGTACAGGAGTTCCAGATATCAGGCACTGTTATAAACTTTTTTACAATTTCCAGTTACAGTTCAGTATACAGTGAAGAAGTCAATCGGGAGGTGTGGTCTAGCATGCAATTACTTGGATTAATAGATAAGGAAGCATAGAATCATCATGTGACATCGGTCCTTGAGGGGGTGGGCTGATAACTACTTCAATATTTGCATAATATAGAACAAATCTGTGCAGATAGAGGGGATCTCCTTGTGTTATAACGTCCGCAAAGAGCATAAACTGTCATGATATCTGAATTGTCCCCAGAGCTGGAGCAAGGATTTTAGGCAACACAGTCAAAATCTGCATCCCCCCCCCCACACACACACAAACATTGCATATAGTAAATTTATACAGTAGCACCACATATAATGATTGCTTTGAAGTTTCTTGATACCCATTTACTCATTAACGCCATAATATACTGTATTGCTTTGGAGCCCTAGCTTTTCCTTATTTACACAGCTTTTTGAGATTTTGTTTTGTTGTGGAGTACAGTTATGGTATAAATCTTGACCTTCTCAGCAAGAAAACTCCCAATAATGTGCAATGACCATGAGTGTATCACAACTCCTCAACAAAATAAAAATAAAATAAAATAAAATGGTGTCTCCATAAGTGGGATACCAGGGGACAAAGTGGGACAGGGGCAGGAAATTGTATAATGAATGCATTAAGAGGCTGTCTGTGGGATTCTGTTTGTGTGTGTATGGGGGAGCGGTCTGTTTGTGATGTAGTGTGTGTGTGTAAATAGCTCTATTTGTTTTGTGTTTGTTGTAGTATGTGTGCCTAGAAGCTATAAAGAGAGTGTGTTTGTGTGTATGGGCTGTAGTGTGTTTATAGTGACTGCATTGTGTGTATGGGATGTGGTGTGTTTATAGTGACTGCATTGTGTGTGTATGGAATGTAGTGTGTTTTTGCTGATTATGCAGTGTTTGTGTATGGAATATAGAGTGTGTATGAGGGATGCATTGTGTGTGCATATTTTATATAATATGAGATATGGGCTGTAATGTATGTGGGTGGAGTGAGATGGAGATTAAAATTTTTTATTATACACAAAACATGTCACAAATGAAATATTTAATTTTTAATTATAAAAAAATAATTAATACTTAACTCTCCCCTCCCTCACCTTGTTACCTTCGTGCAGGGAAGGGGACATTACGATCAATGGTAGTCCAAAGTGTAGTTCTGAGTGTAGACCTGGTATATGTGTATTGCAAGCTCCTGACTTAATAACAAAGCATTGCTGCTGCGAATGGCCCGGAGCTCACGGGAGCCATACACCAGGTCTGCAACCAACAGAAGGTGCAAACCAGAAGCTCTCTGGGGTCCTCCCCTTTCCTCCCTACATTAGGTTCTCTGGGACGTTAAGAGAGATCTTTGATCTCACCACAAGCCCATAAAGGTATCACTCTGCATTGGCCAGCAGGGTCTCCCCACTCCCTCACACTTCAATATAGCGACAGTCCTGATTTCAGCTGGTTAGAGCAGTGGTAACACAAATGTTTGGATCACCGGTGAGACCACCTTACCATAAGTTTTCTTGGGAAAGAAACCTATTGATTTTTATCCACCTACCTCATATCCTCACAGATTGTAAGCTCATTTGAGCATGGCCTCCTCCACACTCAAATATCACCTTTCTATAATTGTAAAGGACTGCAGATTATTTTGGCGCTATATACATGTTAATAATAAGCACAGTCAGTAATATTGCTATGGATCGACCCAACCGACCCGGTGACACATAAGGCCCAAACACGTCCACAACCGCTATGTAACGAACCAACTTCATGTTAATGCTGTATATGTATCTGCTTCACTTATGTAAACCACCAAACACTTGGACCTCTAACCCCCCTTCTCTCATTCTGTATCATCCCCCACCCCCACCTGATTACTTAAAACATAATCTATAAATAAATAAATAAAAAATTTCAAAATATTGCTATGGATCTCTGTGATGGACTAAATAGACAGAACAGGTACTAAAACTGGGAGGGGGGAAACTGTCAGGATTATGTACCACAGTGAAATCTCAAAGTGAATTCTAAGGAAATGTCAAGTTTTGACGCCAGAGCAGTCAAACTAAAAGCAGAGCTGATGGAGATTTCCTCCTTTTTTGGCTATTATGACCTTAAATTTAAAATAACATTGAATTCACCTTGAATTCTCACTTTAATGAATAAATCTGTCTGTTTAAAGAAGGACTGCCACTGTAAAAGAAGAGATTTAAGAGATATTTTGAAACCAACTATTTGATATCACTTTATTTGCAAGAAAGCTGGTGCTCATAGTGGTGGGGAAACAGCAAACTATATTAACAAATGTAAACATTATTGTACCAGACAAAAAACTTTTTGTTGACCCTTCTTCTGTCCTTATCTCTTCCCTGCCACACCTGTTCCGGCTAATCAGTGATTTTACAGTCATCACCAGATCAGGATTTTTATGCCAGGTGCTTGTAGCCACATCATTCTTAGGCACCTCCCCCACCCTCCATAAAGGCAGATAAAGTGAGTTTAATTAATTTATTAACTGGACATCGCAGGCATTAAAATTAAACAACATATATTCAGTTCTGACAAACACATATATATATAGTAGGAAAATAGAAAAACTTGCCGGCACTCCTGGATTTTCATCAGGAAAGTTCCTATTGGGAACAGAAACGTCGACCTTTGTCACAATAAAATTTCCTGACTGAAAATCCAGGAGTGCCAGCAAGTTTTTCTATTTTCCTACTGTTTAAAGTGTGGCTAGGCACCCGGTGTCATTTGGCTGGAGGTAGGATGGTAATGGCTAGTATTATTTGATATTATATATATATGCCAGAGACCTGCGCTGTGAGGAAGAAAGGGTAAGTAAAATCACCTTTTTAACCCTGGTAGGAGGGCCCGGTCACCTAAATGGTGACTAGGGCACTATAGCCTTAGGAATACACATTTATATTCCTAATTTTCAATAGTGTTTCTTTAATATCAGTTAGATTACATACACTGATCAGCCACAACATTAAAATCACCTCCCTAATATCGTGTAGGTCCACCTCATGCTGCCAAAACAGCTCTGATGCATCAAGACATGGACTCATGGACTCTACAAGACCTCTAAATATGTCTTGAGAATTTGAACTCTTTGTCATATTCCATCAAACCATTCCTGAACAATTTTTGCAGTGTGGCAGGGTGCATTATCCTGCTGAAGGAGGTCACTGCCATCAGGGAACACCAATACCATGAAGGGGTGTACGTGGTTTACAAGTATCTCTCGGTAGGTGGTACGTGTCAAAGTAACATCCACATGAATGCAAGGACCCAAGGTTTCGTAGCAGAACATTGCCCAGAGCATAACACTGTCTCCACTTGCCTGCCTTTTTTCCATTGTGCATCCTGTTGCCATCTCTTCCCTAGGTAAACAAACGCACAGGCACCCAACCAGCCATCTGATCTTTAAAAAAAAAAATATTTTTCAGACCAGACAACCTTCGTCCATTGCTTCATGGTCCAGTTCTGAGGCTCACATCCTCATTGAAGGCTCTTTTGACAATGGACAGGGTTCATTATGGATTCTCTGACCGATCTGTGGCTATGCAGCCCCATACACAGCAAACTTTGATGCATTGTGTGTTCTGAAACCTTTCTAACAATGCCAACAGTAAATTTTTTAAGAATTTGAGCTACAGTAGCTGTTCTGTGTGATTGGACAAGATGGGTTGGTTTTCACTCTGCACGTGCATCAATTAGGTGGCCACAGGGTGCAGGGAAAGGTGAGTTTTACTTACCTGAACTGGTCCCTTGTGGCTGCCACCATGGTCTTCCTGTCCGTCCTCTTCATAACTGACCCTTTATCTGCCAGGAGCACACAGTGTTTTTCTCTAATGCATAGACAATGTCTTTTTCCCTGCAGTCGTCACTAATGATGGTTGGGGGAATCACAAAATATAGCGGAAGTAGTTATGCCTTTATGTCAATCATAAGAAATGTACTAAGTCCCTACTTTGTTTTCGTATATGTTTTGACTGTGTTGGAAGTTCGGTGAAATTCCAACACAGTCATTGTAAGTGTTTCATAAAAATATTTATCTATAAGAAATACTCATTTTGGAATGGGGGTTGGGAGCACAGGGCCACTATAAGAGGAATGGAACCTAGAATTAAAGTAAAAGGTTTTGTTTCAGGTTTAAGCTTTGGGTGCTTAAATTTAGGAGTACATGTATGTAGAGTTTGAAGAGTTATTTACAAGGTGCTCACCTTTCTATGACTGGTAGTAGAACTTCAGGAGCTGATACACAGTGGGAATCTCTCATGCAGCTCTCTTCCTATTTCTCCTGCAAGGCATTTCCTGTGTGAGTGGCTGCTAGTGGGCAGTGGCTTCTACGTCTTGTGCAGCCTCACATACAGACACTGGAGGAGCTGGGACATGTTTTACACCATCTAGTACTGTTCCTGCAGCTATGCTATCAAGAACAGGAGGCAAACTGGACTACAGAGGACACTGTCAAGGCTCCTGGTACTTATATTCCCCCACCAGCTCCAGAAAGGAACATTATACGTGCTGTAAATGGCACCTTTTACAAGACTGGCACCTGTCGGCACATGTCTATTCTGCCTAATGGGATATCCTGCCCTGGTCATCACTGTCTAAGTGGCACAACAGGGATAATTCAGAATTTTTATTGAATGCAAAGATAATAAATATAATGGCAACAATAACATATTTCAAATTATGCAGCTGTATAAACATAGCACTGTTTCAAAATTGATATGTGGCAAAATTAAATGTTAAGTGTTTTGGTAAAATAGTTTCTATCTATTTATTTTCCTAACATTTAACACTGTAAAAATGTTTAGCTTTAATTGACTAACCTGGGGAATGGAGATGATTGCAGACTAATGTTCCGGTGATGTTCAGGGAATTTAGTAAACAAATAGCTAGGTAAATTTGGTTCACAAATATTGCCTGACAGAGTTCTATGTTGCAAGTGTAGCTGTGGCACAGCCCAGTGTATTATCAGTGCAGATCCTTTTACCCACAGACAGTGCATTACAATTATGTGCACTCCCAATGCCTGTGATCAGGTGTATACAGCTGAGCACACAGGAGCAATGCGATTTCTGTCTGATAGCTGGTCTGTTGAGTAAACTGGTATTCCAAAGAGAAATGCTGCGCTGTATTTAAAATCCCCAGCCAGCGACGCACCTGCTTTAGTTACTGACAGCATATTTTATAGTTATTCTGTGATACTTCTTTAACCCCTTAAGGACACATGACATGTGTGACATGTCAAGATTCCCTTTTATTCCAGAAGTTTGGTCCTTAAGGGATTAAATTAAAGGCACACTACAGCTTTAAGAATAAAAACCTTCATTCCTAGCACTATAGTGTCCCTGCCCCTAACTTATTAGTCGTCGTCCCCACACCCATGACTAAAAGGTTAAAACCCATTTTTCCACATGGATGGTGGAACCTAATGTGCATGCCCATTAAACATTCCCTGTCACTGTCTCTGGAAAGGCAGGGTTTACATTGAAAAGCCTGCAGGGACAGGCTGTAGACACCAGAACCACCACATTAAGCTGTAGTAATTTGTCTGACTATAGTGTCCCTTTAAGTATTTTATTTTTGTCATTGAAAATAATTATTTGTTAGTTTAAAAAAAATCTAACTTTCATAGCTGGCTCCTAGAATCAAATCCCTGGATTAGGTGGTGAATGTGACTGGGTGGGGATTAACATGTGACAGGGAGGGTGACAGGGTAGGTTACGTGGTATGGAGATGATTGTATCTGGAATCTGGGTGGCCTGGAGTGCATGACTGGGTGGTGAGGGTGATATGTAAGAAGCCGTGGAGGGTGAAAATGACTGGCAGGTGAGCTGAGGGTATTTAACAGGACAGATGGGTATAATCGACTGTGTGTTTGGATGGATGTACAGGGTTGGTGTAATAGGAAAGTGAGGCATGAATGTGCAGGATACATAAGTATTAGGTCTATAGGGTTGTCCTTTCCAAAGATTTTACTGATCATTTTATTAAATGGACATTCCAAGTGCCATAACAACTTATTATTCTTGCATAAGTTATGAAACCAGTAGGTCCTTTGACTTTAAGCAAATACTTTTCTTATATTTTCAGTGATTTGCAAAAATCAATCCAGCATTGAGAAAAGTCACAGAAGGAAGGTATGTTTTTTCTATTGCCTGAACTTCAGTGGCATGTGTACACTATACAAGTAGTTGCCCATACCAATATGCTACCGTTTTTCCTCAAAAATAAGGCCGGATCTTATATTAATTTTCTCCCCGAAAAATGCACTAAGGCTTATTTTTGGGGGATGTCTTAAGTCGGGGAAAATCGGTAGCAAGCATGTGCTAGAAAGCAGGCCTACGTTTGGGGTCATTCCCCCAAACATTGACCAGTTCCCTATGGCATGGAATCCTGCAAATTTATGTTCGAGGAAACTTTCTCGAACATAGATCAGCTTACTTGCAAATTAAATTCCGTGAATCTATGTTCGGGAAAAATTCCCGAACATAGATTAGCGAACTAGTGACTAGGGCTTATTTTCTGGCCAGGGTTTATATTACGAGCATTCCCCGAAAATAGGCTAGGGCTTATTTCTGGTTTTCGGGGGATGTCTTATTTTCAAGGAAACAGGGTACTATGCACATGCTCAGTCCTATGAGGAGTGGGCTAGAGGACTAGTAAAATGATTGGTGCATCCTTATTGGCTGAGCCACTCTTTGGTCTGGCCAAAACTCACTGCAGAAGCTTCAAAGTTACTTTTATCTAGAAAACTCTTATCTAGAAAAACACTCTCACACATATTCATACATGCATGCTTGTGCACTCCCCCCCAACAAACTGAAAGTCCACAAACAGGGCAACATGCAACCATAGGTGGCACAGGCCTTATGGAGCACTGGGCTGGTGGGAGCAAGATACCTTTGACCGTCTGGAGGTCAGAGCAAAGCATAGCACTCCCCTCCTGTTGGTAACTGCATGTGTGACAGCAGTAGAGAAGTTTCTAAAGGGTGGGGAGACGGGGTGAGACACCTGGAGGGGATGGGGAGGAAGGGGGCTTGGGTGATAAAGACACATAGGGGATGGGAAAGGGAAAAAGAGACAGACATGGGCTGGGGGAGGGGGACGAAGATGCACAGAGGGATTGGGGGCAGAAAAGACAAGGAGCTTGTAAGGGGAGAAAGAGACACACAAAAGAGGCTGGGGGAGAGATAGACATACAGAGGGAGTGAGGAAGTGGAGAGAAATATACATAAAAGGGCCTGTGGAGGAAGAAGCACAGAAAGGGGATAGGGAAGTCTTACTCATCAGGAAGCATGATCCGCTAGGCTCCTCCATAGACCTCAATGTTGTACACTTGAGCATGCGCAATACTAAAGAGAAGCTACCTACTGTTGAATCACTTTTAAAACTTACTTCTTGAAAAGGTCAACAGTATTTGTAAAGGCAACCTACTGAGCATGCTTTTTGATGCTATACCTTTCAAAACCTTTCAACAATACCTACACTGAAGCTTCTCAACTGTTAACATCTGCTGATCCATTACAGATAAAAAAAACAAAGTTCCATGGACTGACCAGACTGATCTTTCCTCTATATATGATTAAAATTCAGACAGTCAGGCATGTTCCTGTAGTGGTCTTTAAAGGCTCATTTATACAACATGTAAATTAACCTGTTAAATCAGGGGTTCCCAACCCGTGGTAAGCGTACCCCCAGGGGGGTACAATTCAGTGCCCCAGGGGGTACGTGAAATAATTTTAGTAATTGCGGATGCACATTCAGATACACAGACACATATATACATACACTGACACACATAGATACACAAGATGACACACAGAAACATACTCTGACACCCATACAGACACAGACACCCACACAGACATACAGATACAGACACTGACACACATATACACTGACACACAGATACATACTGTATCTGTATCTGTGTGTCATTGTGAGTATCTGTGTCAGAGTATGTATCTGTGTTTCACTGTATCTGCATATGTGTCAGGGTATGTATCTTTGTGTCAGGGTATGTATCTGTGTACCTGTATGTGTGTCAGTGTGTGTCTGTGTATCTGCATGTGTGTCAGTGTTTTATTCTGCATGTATGTCAGTGTTTGTATCTTTGTATCTGTATGTATGTTTTGTGTGTATGTATGTATGTCAGTGTTTTATCTGTATGTTTGTGTATCATTGTGTCTGTACATCTGTATGTCAGTGTGTGTATCTGCATGTGTTTCAGTCTTTGCATCTGTGTATTTCCAGGTGTGTGTGTGTCTGTATTTATATGTGTGTCAGTGTTTGTTTATGTGTGTCTGCATGTGTGACAGTGTGTGTCTGAGGCAGAGGAGTAGCAGGGGGAACCTGAGTCAAACTGTAAACTGTAAGCAGGGAGAGCCTGGGGTGGGGGAGAAGCAGGGCAAGCCTATGAGAGAAAAAGGGGATATGGGACACAGAAAAATGTTTGAAATAAATGCAACTATATTAAAATTACAAACATTTTGTTAGAGGGAGGGGTACAATATATGGAAATGGGCTGCCAAGGGATACTCAAGAGAAAAAAAGGTTGGGAACCACTGCGTTAAATATTGTATTGTTATATTATTTTCCCCGCTTTGGCCTACAATTGCAGCTGTATATCACAACAATGTCTGTAGCTACAGACACCTCATGTGCACCTTTTTCAGCTGATTTGTTTTCTTTGAATGCTTTACGAGGGTAATTATTTTAATAACCAACTGGATATGAATCCGCATAATATCAGGTCTGTTTGGTAGTAAGCTGCCTGGTCAAGGTAACATTGTGACTGCGTTTGTGGAGCCGATTGCAGGATCTATATTAAGCTCATATACACACACCTGTGTGCACACACAGCAGAAGGCCCAGTCCACGCACCATATGGTGACTCACTCAGCTCCTGATACCGCTTATCTGAGCACAAAGTCCAAGCAGCAAGCAAACAATTATTGTTATGCATAGCTCATGAGAGAGCTATATCTAGTAAGTGTCCAGGGGGCTAATTGTGGATTTATGGGGTACAATTCATAACTTGGATTGTATGTCATAACCAGTATGAGCCACATATAATGAAATATTTAAAGTACCGGGGCCACACCTTATAATTCTTTATGAAGGTCCAAAGTAACAACTTTAATCTGTACTGAAAGCAATAGTAACAACAACATAATGGTACTGGTGGTTTATAATGGTCTAGGATGGGCTACATCTACTACTGCCCCCTTGCCTATTCCAATCATCTGAATATTCACCTTGGACTCTGCTGATACCCCTCAGCCTCATTCTATTTTAGAGGTCAATTCTAAGGGCGTTTCACCTCCCTTTTGTTCCGTGAACAATAAGTAACCCAGTTAGTTAGTTATCAACTCAGAGGAAACAAGAGTCTGGTTGATAATTTATAGCATCACAACCAATTTAAATGGAAAGTTCATATGAAGAGATTACTATAACAGGAGACCCAAATCGTACATACAGCTTCTACTTGTTCACTCAGAGCCTGTTGGCAGTGTGAGGCCTGGATTAAACATTTTGCTACTGAGAAAACCAGCAAATAAAAAGATTTGAATTGGAAAATTGGGCAGGAGAGAGGTAAGAATGGGCTTTGGGGAGGGCACCCCTAGAATATTTTTGCTCGTAGTGGAAGATTGGAAGATACCTTGAATCCAGCCTTTGGAGAAAAGCATTTACCAGTTATGACTCTTGAAAAACCTTACATATCAACCTAGCCAATCAGGATTGCTATTTTATTGGATTTACCCCTTATTTACATCAACGAAGAAGGCCTGGATGTTTTACCCTTTACATACATAAGCAAAGCATGTCACTGAGGTGCAGGCTAATGTAACAAGTAAATTGCATTTTAATCTCAGCTGCAAGACGCAGTGGATGGGTTAATCATCAGAAGTTAATCATCACAAAAGGCAGAGGCCACTTGGTTTAGAAATGCACAAATTATGGAGGACTTGGATAATTAGTAACCAGCACTGGCCCCCTGATCCCTAGTGATTATCAGAACCCAGTGTATTACCCTGAACAGAAACTGAACAGGACCCACATCATCGTAAGGAGAGAGTGAGGAGAATATTGAAAATTGGAGAAGGACATCCCAAGGAGAGAGAGAAAGAACAGAAGAGCACACATCGTACTCCAGTCAGAGAAATTGCAGAATATTCAGCACCCCAATCTGAAAGAGAACAAGGCACACAGAGCTTTGAAGTAGGAAGCAAATAATATGGTACCAGGAGCACCCTGTGCAATGGGAAACTTTCCCCAATGGACACAGCTAGCACTACAGGTCTTTCCAGGTTAAATAATGGACCAAATAAGTCGGAGGAGCTTCCATCTGTATAGGGGATAAATGTATTATTTTCTGTACTATGCATCATTTTTGATAATGATAACAAGCAGGACAGATGAATGCTTAGATCGTTATTTATTTAAAGGGGATTGAAGTGCTCCTGTACGCTGTATTTCATCTAGAACAAATGGAGTCCTGAAAACAGTTAGGAGCTTTACGTTGGTGAGTGTTAAGAGGTACAAGCAACACAGCAAGGTAGTCAATGTCCCAGAGATTGCAGGTTAGTGAAAGATAGGTTCAAGAAATAAGAGAAGAAATGCTGTAAAAGTAAAGAGTGGAAATGTACGACAGAAGTTAGATAAGAGTGCAGTGCACACAGGTCTTACTGAAGCAGTCTCTCCACCACGGCCTTCTGATGAGCAGCTTCCTCGGGGCTCAGTCTTTCTAACTCCTTAATTATTGGTGGTGTGAAGTCCCCCCCATCATCAGAACTCTCATCTTCTGATATATGGGGTTCTCCTAACCCATTAGGTAGTTGTACACAGTGCTCTGCATCTTCCAGGCTGCTCATTTCATCCAAAGAGTCCCTGGGGTAAGAAAAATTTTCCCTATCAGTGAGAGCCTTGGTCAGGGCTTCTTTAGTGACCCCAGATTCCAGCAGAGCACTTAGAAGCTCCTGCTGCAGGTAGCTGAGACGAGACGCCATCCTGTTACCTTCTACCACCTCACCATCCTGCGGCAGCAACAGGGATCAGCAGGCGGGGGCCCATGCTCTACCTACCTTCTGTCTCCTCCTCCCCCCAAAAAAACACTTGCTATACGGTCACAACTCGCTTGCGGTCACCCCCTGAACAGGCTTCCCTGAGACATAACAGATAAGGGACCCTTGTCTGTCTGTTTACATCAGAGCAAAGCAAATCCTCCAAGGTTCATATTTATCCCTGTGCTTTGCAAGTTACTGAACTTTGGACCCCAACTCTGCACAAAGTGCATGAGTGAGAGAGGGGAGGAGAGCAAAGGGAGAGAGAAAGAGAGAGAGGAGAGAAAGCAAAGAGTAAAAGATGAATGATTGAAGGAGATGAATAATGAGATGGATCATTAGAAAGCAGGAGAGAATACGATGGTAAATAAATGGCAGGAGGGAAAGTCACCTAGAAAGTTATTTACTGAGTGGATTATCTAATCATGCAAACAACTTGACAGTAGAGTTTAACTAGATAACAAGATATAGGTTTGGGGGGGGGATAACAAGATATAGGTTTGGGGGGGGGACTTCATGTAAATAGCCAGGTAATGAATAAACAGGACTTAATGTTAACCCAACATGTGTGGTAATACTGCAAGTCATGTGATTGGGTATCATAGATGGTATTATATATTTCAAACACATTTGGAATAAAAAATTAATAGTAAATGAAACATCAAGGATATTCAAGTGATATCAACAGTGATTGCTTATATTTTACGTGGTTATTCAATAAAGTCTGAATTCAAAGTGATTTTCAAACCAAAATAGCTGAAGTGAAAACAAAGCTGACATTGAGAATTTTTCTAGTTTGGTTTGGCCTACCTGATAGGGTTATTCAATAAAGTGAGGATTCAAAGAGAATTTCACATTTTAGGTGGAAGTAGTTAAACTAGAAGCATAGCTGACCTAGAGGATTTTTTCCAATTTGGCTATTTTGGTATTAAATTTGAACTTCACTTTGGATTCACACTTTAGTAACTAACTCTGTGAGATTAATCTAAAGACTCAACATTTCAAACTTTATTTATTTACCCTCTCAAATTTATACTACCGGTATATAATTGCCTGCATAATGTTTAAATGAAGAAAGTTACAAAGTGACCTTTTTTGTACAGATCCTCAGTTATAATGTCCTCTTTGATGTGACACAGAACATTTCTAAAGCTAAGAGCTGTGCCATGAAACACATTTTAATTCCTTAATAAACACACCTACAAACCATTTTCTGTAATTATGTCCAGCACATTGAGAAACTGGGTCCATCTGGTTAAAAGGAGTTAAGATAGACCAATAGGAAGCTATGGCCTGTATGCATGTAAATATTTGCCCTCTGTGAAAGTACCACACAAGTTTTAGAGGTCATAAAAAATAAAATAAAATAAAGACATATAATAAAATATACACCAGTATAACCTGACAATATAGTATTAGCTTGCTGCAACTCACACATTTGGCCGAAGATTATAGACAAAAAAAATTAACTGGTGTAAAACAGGTTAACCAAAACACATATTACAGATTGAGTAATTTCCTGTTTACAACTGGGAGTGTTTCACATTAGCTATAATAAACTATAAGTACTGGGAGGCGTTTACTAAGCAACACACACATTATAGAAAGAGATATACATGGTAAATGAAAGAGCACTCCATGTGAATTCTTTTTTCAAAGGTATAATGTAAAATCAACGTTTCGACCCTCCTGGGTCTTCATCATGATCTGCTCTTTCATTTACCTTGTCGATTTTTGCGCTTAGAAGCACCTGGTTATTATTACTTTATGTTTGATGTTATGGTGAGTGCAAGAAACTGGACTTGTGTGTGTGTATATATATATATATAAATGCGGTGGAAGGATTTTTTGCTACACTGGCAAAGATGCATTTTGCCTTCACCCCTCTCCCAAACAAAAATGCATCTTCACCTCTATGTGTTTCTTACCACCTTTTGTGTTTCTTGTCCTCTCTTTTTGAATGTCTTGTCCCCTTTAGAGTATAGTATCCCCCTTTTGTCTTGAACTCCTCTTTAGTATATATTATCCTGCCATTTTTACCTTTGTTGTCTTTTACTTCCCTCTAGCCTCTTTTGTGTGTATCTTACTTTGCTCCAGACACTTTGTGTGTAATTTTCTTCCCCAGCCCCTTTGTGCGTCTTTCTCCCCCTGCCTCTTTTTGTTTCTCTTTCGATCCCAGGCCCTTTTGTGTGTCTCTTTCCACCCCAGCCCCTTTCTGTGTCTCTTTCTTCTGTTCCCCAGCCTTTCTGTGTGTCTCTTCCTCTCTTCCAGCCCCTTTGTGTCTATGTCTCCTATTCCCTCTGTGTGCCTCTTCCCTTCAGTCCCTTTCATGTAATTATTTCTCACCCTTCCCCCCCTACACCCTTCTTATGTATTTTCCTACGCTTGACCAGCTTTGACCCAGAAGAGGAGCTAAGTCCGCTCCATCTCCTGTGGTCAAAGAAATTTTCCCACAATACTCACCTCTCCTACGTGTTTTCCTGTTGCTTCATTCGCCATTCGAACTACCGAATTTCATCCTAACAGAATGAGAACAGATTGTCCATTCGTGTTAGGACACAATTCGGTACTTATTGTTCGGTTCGAAATTTTATTGGAATGAATCAAATTCCAATCTTATTCTTGTAGGCGCTTAGTAGATAGCTCCCTAATTCCCACGGTATTAGGGAGCCATCTACTAAAAGGCTGAAACACCAAAATTGGTCTTTCAGCCAAATTTACTAATACAAAGTAAAGATTACTTAGTATTAGTAATTAAAAGAGATTGAAATCTTCCATCTGCCCCTACTCGCTATACCAAGAGTAGGGGCATGTCTACTAGACAGTGAGCAGCCAGTGACTGCTCACTGTTGCAATAAAACCCGCCATAATTTAATAAAGTACCCCTTAGTGGGGCACCTATAAAAATATTTAATGGGGGGACAACTAGTCGTGCACGAGTGGGGGTCACTAAACTAAACGGAGGACCTAGTGTCCCCCCTCGGCCTCCACCCATGAGCATCAGGTGGGGGCTATAAGATACAATGGAGGCACCTACTACCTCCCCCCGGCCCCACCCATGAGCCGTGTGGGTGGGGGCCTTGTGATAAACCTATTGTCCCAACCAATCGCTCATGCAAGTAACCAATCAGACAAGGCTCAAGATTTTCCTATCAGAGCACTCTTATTGGTTAGCTTAAAGGATCACTATAGGGTCAGGAACACAAACATGTATTCCTGACCCTATATTGTTAACACCACCATCTAGCCCCCTGGGCCCCTCATGCCACCATAAATATAGCAAAATATTACTGTATTCAAGCCTGAAGCTATAGATCTGCATGCTGTTTGCCTAAAAAAAAAAAAAAAAAGCAGTCTGCTGACATCATATGAAGTAGTAGCCTGATCTAATCACAATGCTTCCCCATAGGATTGGCTGAGACTGACAAAGAGGCAGATCAGGAGCAGAGCCAGCATGATTCAAACACAGCCCTGGCCAATCAGCATCTCTTCATAGAGATGAATTGAATCAATGAATTTCTATGAGGAAAGTTCAGTGTCTGCATGCAGTGGGGGGAGATACTGAATGTTTGGATGCATTTTAGGCAGCCATGACCCAGGAAGGATCTCTAACAGCCATCTAATGAGTGGCCAGTGAAGTTATCACTAGGCTGTAATGTAAACACTGCATTTTCTCTGAAAAGACAGTGTTTACAGCAAAAGGCCTGAAGGTAATGATTCTACTGACCAGAACAAATTCAATAAGCTGTAGTTGTTCTGGTGACTAGTGTCTCTTTAAACCAACCAATCAGACCACTCAGATTTAAATTGCAGGGCGTGGGGAGGGTTACTAAGCCTTTCCGTGCTCTGTGGAGCTCAGTCTGCGTGGTGCCCTCGCTGGTAGAAGATGGATTATTTTTTTAGAGTCCGGATTTTTTTTTTTCTCCCGTGTTTTACTTTGCGCTCTGATTTTTATTTTTAAAGTTGGACAGGAATTGTGGATTTTTAACGTATAGAAAAATAAAATCATACTCACCATTAGATGTCTTCTTTTTTCTAAAACCTTATTTTTTTCAGCCCCAAAAAAACCAAATAAAAATCCACAATCCCCGTCCAACTTTAAAAATAAAATAATTTGGCCTTTTTTGGGGCTAAAAAAGGTTTTACAAAAAAAGAGGACATCTATTGGTGACTATGATTTTATTTTTTTAAAAGGTATTTATTGCTTTCCCCCTCATTTTTCAGGTGAAGGAGGTAGGTAGGCTTTTAGTTTATTTGAGGGGGTGACTAGGGGCTTCGGGACGCTTAGCCACCTTGGGGGGGTTATTTTTACATTGAGCCCCCACCTGTCGCTTATGGGTAGGGGCTGGAGGGAGGGTACAATAGGTTCCCGCCATTGTCATTTAGGCATTCAACTACAACTCATGAGTGGGGGACAATTGGTTCCCCCCCATTGTCATTTAGGTCCCCCACCCACCGCTCATGAGTGGGGGCCAAAGGAGGGGACAATAGGTCTACCCCCCCAACATTGTCACTAGGGACCCTACCTGCCACTTATGAATGGGGGCAGAGGGGGGACAATAGGTTCCCCCTATTGTCATTTAGGGCCCCCACCCACTGCTCATGGGTGGGTGCCGGGGGGGAGGGGACAATTGGTCTCCCCCCTTTTGGAACTAGGGCCCCCATCCGCTGCTCATGGGTTGAGGCTGGGGGAGGCAGTAGGTCCCCCCCCATTGTATCTTAGGACCCCACCCACCACTCATGGGGGCCTCCCATTTAGTTTAGTGGACCCCACTCGTTCACGGTTAGGGGCTCGGGGGAACACTATATCCACCCATTAATTATTTTTATAGATGCCCCACTAAGGGGCACTTTATTAGAGTCATGGTGTTTTTTTATTACAACAGTATTAGGGAGCCATCTACTAAAAGGTTGAAAGACCAAAATTGGGAAATACAGTGGGAATTAGGGAGCTATCTACTAAATGGCTGCAAGCATAAAATCTGAATTTCATTCATTCTAATGAAATTTCAAACCGAACAAAAAGTACAGAATTGTGTCCTAACACAAATGGACAAACTGTTCTCATTTGGTTATGAAGAAATTCTGTAGTTTCGTCGGCGTTCGAGTGGCAAATGAAGCAACAGGAGAACACGTAGGAAAGGTGAGTATTGTGGGAAAATGTATTTGACTACAGGAAATGGAGCGGACTTAGCTTCTTCTCTGGGTCAAAGCTGGTCAAGAGTAGGAAAAATACTGAAGACAAAATAGCCTCTACTTTGTTTTATGTGTTAAAGAAAACTAGATCAGATAGGAAGAAAAGAAGAATAGATCCTGAGAGAGGGAGTGATTGGGGAAAGGTAGGTTTGGCATAACAGTGCTGCTTTAAAGCTCTGCCATAAACACATGTTTAAATCAGCTTACCATGTTGTATACATTTCATGACATGATGTCAGAAGTACTAACCTGTACATCTGATTGTAAATCCATGAAGATGTCTAAGTTCACTCCACCTGAGCCACATGATTTATCAGTAGCATGGTGCATGGCCTACCTGGCAACAGAAGTTTGCACCCTTCAGGATTGCATCCGAGCTGGATAAGGAGAATGGTGAAGTACAAGTTAATTATTTTTTACATTCTAGATGTAGGGGCCTGTCTACAATACATTTACATTCTGTGAGGGGGAAGTATTTTGACCTTGTGACAGTTATGAATAAGCTCAGTGCCCATTCATGCGAAGGCCTGTTTCAGTGGAATCATTTGTACGCAGCTGGTATTCTCCGAGTTCTGTGAGTTTGGTGCTGCCAATGAGGAGCAGATCAGAGATATAATTGTGATAGGAATTGCAGATTTAGAACTCTCACTGAAGCTGCAGCTGGAGTCTGAGTTGACACTTAATGACGCTATATGAATGGGCTACCAGTATGAACAGGTGTAAAAGCAAAGTGCAGATATGAGACATGAAAGCATGGTAGAAGAAGCGCAGCAGTCCAGGAGAGCTGCATGTGACAAACATAGTGTGAGAAGCAGACAGACTCAGAAGAGGGTGGATGCAACAGCCTCTTTGCACAAGTTGTAACCGCACTCATGGAACAAAGGTGTTATGTGCTGCTAAAGACAAGAGGTGCAGGAAGTGCAACTAAGTCGGCCATTTTGAGGTGGTTTGCAAATTAGAGTCTATTAAGGAAATGCACCTGAACAGTGACCAGGCGATGCAAAAGGGGTCCTTTATAGGGTCAGTGGAATAGTCCAGATTTGAGGAAGATTGTCGACTTACACTTACAGTGATGTATGCAAGGATTGATTTTGAGATTGATACAGAAGCAGACATTACCATCATTGGTTGTGCAACATTCACAGAATTGCCATGACGACCACAGTTTGAGGACATTACAATAAAAGTTCACAGCCCGGAAGGTGGCATTGATTGTGCCAGGTAATATCTTGCTAGCAGTGAGTACAAGCAAAAAAAAAAGATTCTGTGGGTGTACGTAACTACAAAACAATGTGTTAACCTTTTGAGCTGGAACACAGCCTGCAGTCTGACCTTGTTGCAAGAATGCATGAGTTCACATTCACAGAGGGCATGTTTGGAGATTTTACAGCTTAAAACGTATGCAATACAGTTTCGCAACACCTAATAGAATTCTATTCCTACTTATGCCACAGGAATGAGGAGGCAAAGCAGAGTTAGAAATTATTTTGTGATAGAAGACACTCTGTGTAACCATTGCCTGACCAGAGTGTCAGCGTCAAAGTGGATGACCAAAGAAGGTGGAAGATACTGGCCACTGTAGTAGGGTGTTTCCCCGAGCCAATATCTTATGTGGTCCACACATAAGGAGGGACTGTTACCCACTGCCATAGAATACACTTTCAGTCATTCCCTGAGGAGTTAGGTGCTGAGAATTTGAAACGGCAGCTGGTAGAATCCCTGGTCTTAAGAGGTGTAACTCCCTTGCAACATGATTCCGGTATGGATACATCGCTGCTTCCAGTGGAGTCACAACCACTCTCACAAGCATGCTACCGAGATTAGCACTGTAGTTAGACCAGTGATTTGACAAATGGGCAGAATAATCTCACAGTCACTTTGGACTAGGACAGTCTACCCCAATTGCGTCCTAGTCCACAGTAACTGTGAGATTATTCTGCTCATTTGCATGGCTGCAAATATAAAAATGAGCCCAATGTCCAAGATAGTATTGCACAATTGCCTATATTTACTGGCTCTTCTGTTTATATAATTTGTTTGCCTTATACCCGATAAAAAAAAATGTATAGTTATTACAAAGTGGTAAATGTGCCGAGATCCTGAGACATCAGAGGAAGGGCTCCAGAGACAAGACTCAAACAGGTTGCAGATGATGTGGGTTCTCAAGTTAAGCTCTGCAATAAACACAAAGCTCACCATGTTATATGTATTTCATGATAAGTCCAATACTAAATCTTAATGTGTTTTATATACTGTGACACCAAATTTTTCACTGAATTCAAAGAATTATATGAAGGTATATTTGTAAATGCTACACCTGCTGTATTACCCACTAGCCATTATTAACTTTTTACTCCATTGCATTAAAACCCTGCACACAGCAACACCCCCACACTGTAATGCACAATTAACTCCACATATGGTGCAAAGTGGATCTGCCATAAATTAGATATTTGCAGGTGTTATTTCTCTCAATATTACTGGGGACTATGGGCTATCTATGAAATTACATCAATATTCAACCTGGGGTTATTCAGGATTCAGTCTCTGTCAACCCCGCTAACAATACCACTGACACAGGTAAATGATAAAAAGCCAGCACAGATATATTAGCAGAGAGGGACTTAAAATGTTCTAGTTCCCAGTGCCAACTAGAAATTCTAGTAACTGGAATGACTGTCTCCTGGAAATCAAAATAAACTGAAAATCTACTAATCAAGTTGGTGGATAGATGGTCTGGCATAGAAGAATAGGATTAAGAGACCTGGCGTAATGAGAGAGAAGTATAGAGACCTGACATGGCCTGCTATCAGGGGTGGATTTGGTGTGGGGGGCATAAGGGCAAGTGCCTAGATGCCAGACTGGTACCCACATCAGCTGACAAATGTACAGTGCAATACCGTCGACATTCATTTAGCAAGAGTGATAATCATGTTTAAAAATAATGTGGTGTGCATACTGGGAAGCCATATGAGTGAGAGTCCTGGCAGCAAGCACACTGTCAGGAATCTTAACTGCGATGCCAGACGGGACTGTGATAGAAAACATATAACTATGTTCTATGCCAGCCCCCTCCTCACAGTTTACATTGGGCAGCAAGCTTTGAACCAGCGGTACATGCGCTACAGAAGTGTTAGCAACTATTGGGTTGTTATACGCTAAAGATATGGGGTTACTAAATATATGATTGGATAATATGGAGAGGGAATGGAAGGTTTAAGAGAGAATATAGAGATGGGAAAGAATTTGGCCTGGCTGGGTGCCTTGGCCCTATAACAGCATGACCTTTTACATCAGCAGCCTGCGTGTAAGTCAGTGCCGGTCACTTCCTCCAAGCAACATAGAGTAAGCGCCATGTGGGAGGCAGAGGAGGAGGCAACACAGGCAGTATAAGCTGCTCTAGATCCCACACTCCCATCAGCCTCAGCATGACCCCAAGAAAGTCACCCTAGTGCACACAAAAGGTATGCTAACAGGAGGGTGGCTGCAAATATAAAAATTATGACATGTATTCATCTGTGTGTCAGTTTATGTGTGCATGTGTACATTATTACAGCATTCAAACTCCAAAATTATATAACACATCAATACTACACACACATGTACACCCACATTTAAAATCCAACACTACAAACACATCTTTGCAATCAAATGCAAACATAACAAATACACCCCTGTATTAAAATACTAAAGTGAAAAACAAACTCTCCTGCATTCACACACAAACCCTACACACAAAAGCACAAACAGCCAACACTACATACAAACACACCCCTGCATTTAAATGCAAAAACTACACACAAGTACACCACTACATTCCAGTGGCAAAGGTACATAAAAAAATAAACCCTACACGCACACACATACACACACTCCATACAAAGACATGCTTACATTAAAACACACAAACACTGCTCACAAATACAACCCTGCAAGGATGGTTAAATGGTAGATCCCCAGCTAGCATTGCATCGTTGGAGTTGTACAGCAGATGGGGATCTACCTTTTGGCCATTCTTGTATTTGTGGGGCCCTCTCTAAATTAGTTCTCCCACTGTATATGTGCATATATATATTTAAGGTTTGGCCTGTAGTTGTGGGAGGGGCTTGGGTGACCTTTATAAGGGCCCCCAATCCTCTCTCACATACCGTTACTGGTCTGGTGAGATGAGTGTGACTACTTCCGGTCACTCACAAGTTGCCATCTTGCAAAGCTTACCTGTATCCCTGTGGTCCTATTTCCTAGCTCGCTGTCTGTTTTGTTCACCGCTTACCGACTGCTGACAGATCACCACCAGTCAGCTTCCTCCTCCAGCTCCCTCGGAGACTGACTCTGAAGTGCCCTCTGAACCGTAAGTTGGGGCCCAAACCGTTGCGCCACGGTCACAGTACATGGCGTCATTCTGGTATGGGTCGATTTCCTTACTTACTGGTTTTCATTCGTATGTTTCGGCCCATTTGGGCCTACTCGCACGTACAGTTATACATAAATATACAAATGACACAGTTATGTGAATGAGTATTTGGTTATATGTAATTTCTAATGGTTTGGTAGTAGGATCCCCATACCGGTGTGACTTGGTATTGCAGTTAAAATTGCATTTTCTTACTCTTTACCCTAGAGAAGTTTGTCATATTATATAAATTCATGTGGTTCACCTGTTATTAAATTAAACGTACACATGTTTGCATGTTTATTCTTAGGTTCGGTTGTGTACAAACCTAAATTTGCATATATTATTTCTGTCTTTGGACAGCCAGCAAAGATATCAGTTCTTGGTTGATCACAATTTAGTTAATAATTATGCCATAATATTTCACACTCCTATGTTGTTTATGCTCATGTTTCGCTTGTTTAGGTGACACGCTCTGTCCAACCTTTTCCTTTCAAGGTGCTCATCATTACTGGCGGCATTTGCCATTTTTCCTCGTATCAAAACAGGGCCGGACTGTAAAGAAAATTTGGCCCAGGCATTTTTTAATTACAGCAGCCCACTGAAAAGGGGGCAGGGCCAGATAGTGTGTGTTTTGTCATCACCAATGACAAGCACGACACATCATAAAGTGAGCATGTTGGTTCAATGCTCTTCCAGGGCAGACCATGCTCAGAGCCCTGCTGAAGAGCTGTAGCATGAGAAAAAGATGTTTGCACTGTGTTTGCTTGAAATTTGTCTCTAGTGTCTCCATAGATAGGATATCAGGAGACAAAAATGCCAGGAAAGAGAATAGTGCAGTGTGTGTGTGAGGGTGCAGTGTGTGTGTGAGTGTGCTGTGTGCCTGTGAGGAAGCTGTGAGTGTCAGGGGTGCAGTGTGTGTGTGAGTTTGAGTAAGGGTGCTGTGAGTGTAAGGGGTGCAGTGTGTGTGTGTGAGGGTGCTGTGTGTGTGAGGGTGTGTGTGCAAGAGGGGTGCAGTGTGGGTGAGGGTGCTGTGTGCGTGTGAGGAAGCTGTGTGTGTGTGAGGGTGCTGTGAGTGCCAGGGGTGCAGTGTGTGTGTGTGTGATGGTGCTAATGTGAATATGTCTAGAGGCTTTGTGTGTTGAGGGGGAGGGCAGATTATTATCAATATATATTAATATAAAAATTAAAAAAAATAAACAAGCATTTATTGTATCCTCCCTCCTTTCTTACCTTTAGCTTGGGAGGGGGGACCGTACTGCTGCCATCCCTGGTGGTGCTAGTGGTGAGTGAACTCTAGCCTGTGGGGCTTGAGTTCACTTTTTTACGAGACTTTTGCGAGACCTGGAGCGTTGCCTGCAGTGGGGCCTGCGCTTGGATAGTGCCGGCCTTGCATGGACTGGCTGTGGACATCCTGTGATCTCCCCTGCCGGCTAGGGCCCATAGACATTGCGGCCCACCGGGCATTTGCCCGGTGTGCCCAATGGCCAGGCCGGGCCTGTGTCCAACAGTAAGGTAGGTTACCTTAAATTATTTGAGTCCATGATCTGGCCCACACAGGTTCCTACATTCTCAGATACTATCCTACGTTTTCTCAATATTAGGTTGCTCTACCCTACTACTATCCTTACTCTACTCCTACTATCGAACCTACATCCAGACTTTACAGTCTCAGGTATGACAATTTACTTTTCGTTCAACGTAGTGGTTCCCTATTAGTAGAAGTTACTGGCTGTCACTCCCATACTATCTTCTGCTTTAATTGTCACTGAGAGGCCAACACCCCCCCACAACGTTCGGTGGCTTCAAAATCCCCTTGGGCCAACACATAGTTAGAGCCTCTCAAGCCACTTGGCAACTAGCAGGGCCTCACCTGTCACTTTTAGTGGAATTGTTTCGCCGCTCGGCAATAGCTAGTCTGCCAGTACCAATTGGATTTCGCACTAAATGGTACTTTTTATAATTCAGTATGTCCCAGGCTCCTGATGTCCCAGGAAAACTTTCCTTGCCCAGTACCCCTGCTAGGTCTGGTGTAGACGCAGCTAGACCATCATCACTCAGATCGTGGACTATCACGCGTATCACTGCTGAACTCCGCAGGAGAAATATAACATTCCCGGCTACTGCCAGGAAAGCAAAATTGTTTAGGCTTCTGAATGTCAACACCAAGAACTCTGATGCTGGGGAGGGGCCTAGTGGATCCCAGCCGCTTGACGTCCAAGCCATGATGACCTCATTGTTATCATTTATTGGACTATTTAATGATAGGTTGGAGCAGTTGGAATCATCCAGTACCCTTAACTTACCTGCTAGATCACCAGATGCAATCCCATCTGCATCTTCAACTACAACAGGTAATTCTCCAGTTCAACTGAAAGTCCCTGAGGTCATTAACCCATCGCATAGGGTTCCAGCTCATCTTAAAAAGGACATCCTGGAGGGCAAGGATATTAACCTGGTCTCACTCCTTACTGCCTCACAGGATGTCATTAAGAAAAGGACACATGCATACGGGGATATTTCAGTGGTGCTTAAAGTGAGAGACCCAAGGTTAAACAAAAGATTATCTTTACAAGAATTTGTACTGGCTTTCGGGATATATAGGGATGTTTATGGTTCCGTTTAGCCCGAAAAGAGAGAGGAACTGGATGTGTATATGCATAAGCTGGTGGATCTGGGGTAGAAGTACGGTGATAAGGCCTTCTATAATTTAACCGTTCTTTTTTGGTAAAAGTGGCTGCAGCTCTGACTCAACTTCAGTATGGATTGGAGTAAAATGGACACAGAATTATTCTACAGACACTTTGCATGCCTCAGGACCCTGGCTTGTGCAGTTTGCACATCCACATCTTACTCCACAAATGTATGCCCTAATTCGGCAGATGTCTTGCAGGGCCAATTGGTTCATTTCGCTCCCCACCGAAGTCTACTAAGATAATTAAAGATAAACTGGGTCGTGACATTGTATCTTTGGGCAAGTCCCAAATATGCAACAACTTCAATGCAGGTACTTGTGGTTTTACTGCATGCAGACTATAGCACATATGTTCCTATTGCTTCCAGGCTCATGCCAAGTCCATGTGCCTGAATAAAATGTTCCCTAAACCCTACCTCACAACTATTAATAGTGTATGTTTTGCTGAACTATTGAGGAGCCACCCTTCCCAACACTTGGTTAACTTTTTAGTTGAGGGATTATCACAGGGGTTTCACACTGGTATCATTCACTTGCCATCTGGTACACTTGAATGTAATAATTTACAGTTAGCCATAGCTGATCCAGAATCGGTGGATAAACTGATAAAGACTGAGTTGGAACAGGGATTTGTTCTCGGGCCTTTCAGGTCCCCCCCCCTTTCACTTCATGGAGGACAAATCCAAGGGTTAGGGTAAGAATAGAGTGTGAGAGAGGTTAGAAGCACTTACCTAACCCTAATTTGTACCCTCACTTAACCCTAAGTGTCCCGTGTGCCTAAGCTTAGTGAATGCACTAACTATAATGAAAGTCTAAAACTTGTTTTACTTACCTTCCAGGACCTTGCTGTGGAGGAGTAGCAGGAGTGCTAGCACGCATGTGCAGCACAGGATCCAGCTGATTCCCCTCCCCGGAAGTGACGGGGGTATAGCAATCTGACGGAGTATAGCAGACTGATAGAACACCGGGACATGGCTCAGTTAAACTGATATTGTCAGTGCATTCAATTTACTTCCTATTCACCCCTCACTTTGGCATTTGCACGGCATTAAGTCGCAGGGCTTATGTTATTTTACTTCAAGGTTCACGTTCGGTTCCAAGGGTAGCCCCAAAATATTCTATATTTTTGCCGAAACCCTATGCTGGTTGCTACTTAATGTGTGCAGATGCCCGACTGTTATACATTACTTAGATGATTTCTTCACGATTGAAGACAACTCTCACGCACCTCAGAGTCTCACAGCTGCAGTCGGTCTTTTTGAATCCCTGGATATACCTGTCTCCCCCAAAAAGACAGAAGGTCCTGATACGTTGATACATTTTCTGGGTATTAAACTAGACTCGGTTAAAATGCAGTCCTGTCTTCCTCATGATAAAATTGAGCGAATATTGTCAAGTATTGACCTATACTTACAATTGGGTGTCAGCCACTCACCAGTTTTTTCTTACTTGTATTCACATCCTGGGGGTCACTAATATATCCGCTGACCCTTTGTCTTGTTTCCGCTTGCAGGCATTCCACGAGACTATGCCCACTGCTTCCCCTCTGGCTACTCCTGTCCCTCCATTCCAAGACATGTTAATGGTTAAATGTATTATTATCACACGCACAGAACCGCACCCACTTGGCACTCTCGGCTAACACAAGGAAATCATACGACAGGGCTTTCCCCCTTTTCACCAAATTCACTACTGATTTTCAAATTCACGACATGTTTGTGTCACATCCTGTTCCTAGCTGCAGGTCATTCTGGCAATGGCTTCTGGTATCCAATACTCTTTTGACAATTCTTGTTTAGTTTTTCTTGGTTTTTCTGCTTTTCTATTCCATGTCTGGTTTTCTAGGTTCATTCCTGTATTCCATTCCTGGAATTCCCAGTCTCTTGGATTCCATTAAATGTTTGTTTTATGTTGCTACACCCGTTCCTTTTCCATGATTCCTTTTGTTTCAGTTTGTTCCTGCAGGCAGTTGCTCAAGTCTTCTGCCCTTTTTTGCAGGTAAGTGCTGTATGTGCTTTATTATGGTTCATTTAGCAGACATTAGGCAGTTATAGTAGGACCTGCCAAATATGGGGTACATTGGTGTTGGTGGCAGGCTTATGCAATGTATGATCATATAATGTAACTAGATCCCCATAGTTTTTCACATATAGTACTTAGTTTGTCTCCTCTTGTTTTGCCTATTATATCTTGTCTTGTTTTATTTTGTCTTGTATTCACAGTTCATGTACAGTCCTGTCCTGCCCTGTTCATGTTTCCCTCATGTCTTGTGTACATGTTCTGGGTTCAGCTTTCTGTCCTGCTCCGGTTCTGGGTTCTCCTAGTTTTGTCTTGTTTTCATGTTTGGTGTCTGTTTTAGTCTTGCCTTGTTTCAGTACTGGATACATTCTTGCTGCAGAGCCTCCCTATTCAGCTCCTGGTAGGTCTGCTTAACTCCAAGCTCCTAGTTCCTGGGATCCGCTATCAGGGTCCTGGTATGTGGCCACACAAACGCTGGTGCTCAACACCAGGGGGCATGCGGTTACCCTGCACCACACCCTGCTAATCCACTTCCACACTGTGACTCCTACTTTAACATCAGGCATACTGGGTCCCGGTCGTCCGACCGCCGCCCAGACAGTGTCTGGGTCCCGGTCACCGGAACGCCACCCTGACAGTTTGCAATGGAGTCTTTATTAGTTTTTACTTCTTTTTGCCACCTTCAGCTAAAATTATCCTATAACACAATCAAACTCTAACTAACAGGCATTCAACATCACATGCTGATACTACACCTTACTTAACAAAACAGGATTCCTATCCTCTTACCAAATTAAAACCTTACTGGAAGGAATATAGAAATCCAACACAATATTACCCTCTAAGATACTACCAATCCATGGTAAACTGTTCCAGTCCCTATCCACTTTATTAGACACATCTCCTTTTGAACCAATTACAAATATGGTAATCAAAACTGCCATATACCTAGCTTTTTACGGTTTCCTAAGACCAAGGAAATTCACCTCTATCAATCTAACTGCCACAGATTACAATATAGCTAGAAATATAAATAAAACCATGGATCACTACATCCTGTCACTCAACCACTCTAAAACAAGCCAGATTGGACGCCCGGTCAATATACCTTACCTATAACAAATGGTGCCCAGTTCAGGTATTAGACAAATATTTCAGCACCTTTCAAAAACAACCTCACCAACCACTTCTTGAATTACATGGTTTCACACTCTTTATGCTGTACGTTCGCATGCTATTAACTAGGCTTGGATTTAATTCAAATCACTCTTCAGGTCACTCTTTCCGCATAGGGGCATCCACACCTGCCTCCTCTAATAACACTCCAGCACATATCATCAAGATAATGGGACGCTGAAAATCATCCACTTACACCTTATATATACCTGAAATGGTTAAAGAGATTCATCAGGTTTTTCAAGACTTATCCAAATGATTGATGTATTGTAGAACTAATAAAAATTTTTTGTATGGTACACTTCTTTTTGCCCTCTTTTATTACAGGCCTACTGCATTGTCAATTCCGGCACACTACAACTGACTGGTGTTTTAAAACTATATTATTTACTACTATTTATATGTTATCTAACCATTATGGCAATATTGCCACGACCACAAATAAATATATATATAATGCTTAACAGATATAAATATGCACTGTGCAGTGTCTATCCAAGACTGAGTTCTGGTAAAGAGCAAGATGAGGATAAGAAAGTCTGGCATTAATACAGAGGCCTGACTTATTATGAAGGGGAGAATTAGAATCCCTGGCATATAAAGAACAGAGGATAAAAAGGGGTAACATTGAGGCAAAAAAAGGGGACCTGGTATAGAGGAGGGAGATGTAAAGGCTCTACTCATAAAAAAAAAGTTTATACAGCCACTCTGTGTGTCATATTATAATGGTAACACTATATGATTTTATTGTGTGAGCCTACACAAATCTGTGATAGTAAATGATAATAATTCTACCTCTGTATTTTTTCAGATAGTATAGTAATTTAATGTGCTCCCCGGTTTTACTATTTATATGTATTTTAATAGAATCCCTCTAGGGTCCTGCTTTGGTTTGGCAATAGATCAGGTGTTTACCCATTGCATTGAGTCATAACTATGTCCTTCATCTATCACCGCAGGTACTGCTCTGCTGTTCTCTCTTTTCAGCTCTCCTTCACTCCACATAATTCCGCTTGTAAGGTAGTTGTGCCCAGGGAAGGTACTGGGAGGACTCAGAACTCAAACAGTCTGGGAAATGTAATCAAAAGGTGTCCCTGGAAATTATCACTTGTTAACAAAAAAACAAACACACACAAAAAACACAAGAGTATAATGCACACACTAAAAAAGGGGGAATACTTCCTGCAGGGTGCTCCAGAAAGGGACAGCCAATCCCTGAAGACATCAAATGGAAGAAAATAAATATCCAGGCACACCAGAGGTTTCTTCTAAAAGGCAGTCTTTTTTTATTTTAAACAAGAAAGTGGAGAAAACGTTTCAGCTCCTCTCAGCCTTTATCAAGTCAGACTCGATAAAGACTCAGAGAGGAGCTGAAACATCTCCAATTTTTTGTTTCAGATAATAGAAGAAACCCCAGGTGTGCCTGGATATTGATTTTCTTCCATCTTCTGCAAATTATCACGTCAGACTTTATATCTTAATTCCAGGTTTGCCTATGAAAGATAGCGTTTTTCGTAAGAAATTAGTTGCTTTTCACTCTCAAGCAGTAATTTAAGCTCTGTTATTGGTGATAGGAGTCTTTAAAGAATTATGCCATACAATCTTTTGAACAAAACAGTATAATCTAATAATAATATATACCAATATATACACATTGAAAAAAATAAATAAGTGAAATTGATGACTACTGATGAATAAAGGACTAAAAGGAGATTGAGTAAAAGTGAAGAAGCAGTAAATTATGGGGTAGACAGCTGCCAAAGGAAGCAGGTATATATCTTTTGTATTTGTTTTAATTCATGCTATAATTTTCTTTACTATGACTTTTAGAGCTTGTTAAATTGATGTATTTTCTCAGCGGTTTTGAGCGCCCTCTGGTGGTAAATATTTATAATGTAAAAGGAAGAATGAAAATTAGCTCAAGTAAACACTATAAACAGTGGAATTAGTATATGCAAGCAAAAAAAGTTATTGGTAAATTCTCTATTCAATATTTGTCTATAGAGGTACATTAACAACTTTGTAAAGGCATGCTCGTTTTACTATAGAAAAACAGATAGGCCTAAAATGCAACTACCTTTCACTATTTTACATGAAAAAAAAATTGTAACTTAGGGCATTAGGACTTGTTTTGCCTCAGGAAAAAAAAGTTTACAAGCAATAAAAATTCCACAACCAAATGCTTTCCAAAAATACATAGGAATTGGATGGATGATGGAAGCATGTGCCCCCTACTTAATTAGAGATGTCGCGAACCGTCTGCGAACTTCTCGCGAAGGGTTCGCCGCGGTTGTTCGCGGCGAACTCCGGTCAGCTGACACATCCCGGCCAATCTCCGGCAGACCCTCCCTCCCAGACACTCCTACTTCCTGGACAGCATCCATGTTGAAGTTCAACATGGATGCTGTCCAGGAGGTGGGAGGGTCTGGGAGGGAGGGTCTGCCGGAGATTGGCCGGGATGTGTCAGCCGCGAATGGTTCGTGGCGAACCGCGGCAAACCGTTCGCGACATCTCTATACTTAATACGTTAGAGGTAAGTATGTTTCTCACTATCACTATTGCATATTTCACCTCAGTAAACGTTGCATTAAATGTGAGAAATTAGGAACTATCACAAACAAACCAAAAAAATGGCAGTAACTTTTATGGAGATTTCTGTTGGGTGGTTTTACGAACCATGTTAATACAATACAACATTAGTTTCTTAAAAAACACCTTCATAAACTCTTAAAGGAATACTCCAGGCACTAGCACAACTAGTAGAATATTTATAAAAATAAAAAACTGATTATTCAAATAGATGGAAAAACAGAGACTTTTGATCAATCAGACAAGCTTAAGACATGGCTGCAGAATAAGTCACTAAACTAATCTCTAATAGGGACTTTTAAGGTTCTAGGTGTAGTTGCGTGGGATAGGAGGGGAGAGAGAAATGAATATACAATCTTAAATATTAGTTGTTCATTGTATTTTAACATTAGTTGAACACTTTGTTCACATAAGCAACACAATGTATATATATATTTTTTTATTTTTTATTTTTTGTATTTTTTTTCACAAGTCGAATACTCTGAAATAGGCATGCCTTATGGCATAAATGAAATGCTAAAGTATGGTTGTGTGCATTTATTAACCCAAATTTAATATGATGTAAAAGGTGATAATTTCACATGCATAATTGCCCAATTGTTATATTTGTTCACTAACCTTTTGCTCACCTTTATACGTATTTAAAAAAAAAAAACATAGGTTAAATAAGAATAAATAAAGGAAAGAAAAAGGAAATGTAATGTAGATCCTATAAAATAGATGTGAGGGGGCATTGGACAGTAATGTCACTTTAATTATACTTTTCATATAGCAGATATGTGATATGCAATGTGATTTAATATATCAGAGTATTATCACTTTAATTGACACAGCATTTTTTTATGCATTATTCTTTTTATGCATTATTATTTTTATTTTTTTCTTAAATTTTAATGTCTGTTTAGAATATTGCAGCCTTGCAATATCAAATTAATTTTGCATTATATATATTCACAATGCTATTACAACATATTATTAAAATTAGCCTCTTTCAGAATTGTAGAATATGTGGTGGAACTGAATCCTCATATATGAGATTTGAAACTGTATTTTTGATTTCTATGCTGTGCCCTGATCAGTATTTATATACATAATTGCAGCAGCATATAGCTTTTAAAGAAGCAATCATTTCACTCACCATGTGTGGTTGACTGTGGACTTTTTAAAACCTACTTTTTATTTTTTTTATAAATCTGTTTCTGGCTTTGAGAGAGCAGGCTGCTGAATGCATGTAAATGCTCTTAATGCTTAATCTCTATACATTTATTTTATTTAATCGTATTTTATATTATTTTATGAAAACCTAGTTTATGAAATTCATTGAGATTGCATGTGTCTGATCTGATTACAGTCAGTAGTACAATATAATTGTTCTAATTTCTTTACTGCTAGTACGGTGGGATAGTACCACTGATTTAAGTAAGCTTTCCCTTTTAAAATTGATGGACTTTACTGCTATTGCAATAGACTAAAGACCGTACCTGAGTAAGCAAAGTCATTATGTGCAGGAATTGTGCACTTTAAATAGTAGAATACTTATGCTATTCTAGTGAATTGGGCTGGCTGCTTAACACATCATTTAATATCTTTTGGTCACATTTAAAGCTGTAAATGTATTTAACATTTTATTTAAATAAGCCTTTAATAATTTCAGTTTAAAAGTTATCAGAGATCCTGTCTAGTTACAATTTTATTTAGCCCTGATTTATCTTACATATATATTATTTTTAATCATTTTATAAATATTTATTTTTGCAGAGCATTTAGAGAAGCAAATGATGTATAACCATCTGTTGCCCTTTTTTCTAGGAGGGTAGTATAATTTCAACTCTGTTTAGGAAAAAATATAAGCTAGTTAGCATATGTTATATAAAATATATGCTGCAGTGTACTGCATTGAATGTATTTAAAAGCCATGTATTTTTCTTTATGGCTGTATGTAATAATGTTGTTCATAATTTGGAATATAAAACAACGACTTCTCAATTCCTTGGAATGTTTACATGTCTCTATCTCCGCAACCTTGGCTGGAAACTCCAGACTGAAAAAATAGTTATGCTGTTATAATTCCTGATTTTTAATCAACAGCTAGTCTGTCTGTTGCATGAATGTTTTCATTAAGCCATAATGCAATTTTCTTTGCATTCTTGGAATTAGACTTCAAATTTCATCGCTCTGTCTTATCACTTTTCTTTTGACAACATTTTGCATTAATCTTTTTCCTGTGCATGCATACTAAGCAGCTACAAAGAGAACATATCCCCCTGCCTGCAATCCACTGTCCTGGAACTAACGGGCCATGCTATGCTGGTGTATTAGGCATTTGTTCTATTATGATATTAGTTAAGATCCACAATTTCAGCATTGTATGCTAATAACATTGTACCTGGCACCTGAACTCACAGTGCCTTGTTCACATTAAAATCATCTCTAATGATCTCTCTCTGAGTCTGGGCTACAAGTAGCTCAATAGATTCTTGATATTTCAAGACTTGTGCCATGAAAAAGTATTGTGTCTTCTCTTACGTATAAGAGGTTACCTAGGTATTTATTTTATATTTAAAGCTTCCAAGTACAAAGTCCCTTCGTGGTCGCCAATTGTAACCGCTGGTGGTTCCCTTATTTACCACTATAATGTCTTAAAGC